CCTTAGCCAGACTCACCAAGAAACAAAGAGAGAAAACCCAAATACACAAAATCAGAAATGAGAAAGTGGAGAAATAATAACTGACACCACAGAAATACAAAGGATCGTTAACAAATATTATGAACAATTATACGGCAACAAATTCAACAATCTAAGCGAAATGGACAAATTTCTAGAAACACATAGTCCCCCAAAACTGGACCAGGAAGAGATAGAAAACTTGAACAAACCAATAACAACAAAGGAAATTTAAGATGTAATCAAGACTCTCCCAGCAAACAAAAGCCCAGGCCCAGATGGCTTCACGGGGGAATTTTACCAAACATTCAAAGAAGAACTAATATCCATTCTCCTCAAACTATTTTTAAAAAAATTCAAGAAGGAAGACTTCCAAACTCGTTTTATGAGGCCAGCATAATTCTAATTCCAAAACCAGAAAAAGACACTACAAAGAAAGAAAACTACAGACCAATATCCCTGATGAACATAGATGCCAAAATCCTTAACAAAATACTAGCAAATCAAATCCAGCAATACATCAAAACAATTATTCACCATGACCAAGTGGGATTCATCAATATTCTCAAATCAATAAATGTGATACACCACATAAACAAAATGAAAGATAAAAATCTTATTATCATATCAATAGATGCTGAAAAGCATTCGATAAAATCCAGCATCCATTTCTGATAAAAACGCTCAGCAGTCTGGGAATAGAGGGATCATACCTCTACATAATAAAGGCCATATATGAAAGACCTACAGCCAACATCATACTCACCGGGCAAAAACTAAAAGCATTTCCCTTAAGAACAGGAACAAGGCAAGGAGTCCCACTTTCGCCACTCTTATTTAACATAGTACTGGAAGTCTTAGCCACAGCAATCAGACAGGAAGAAAAAATAAAAGGGATCCAAATTGGAAAGGAGGAAGTGAAACTGTCATTATTCGCAATTGACATGATACTATATGTAGAAAACCCCAAAGACTCCATCAAAAATTTATTAGACTTAATAAATGAATTTGGCAAAGTAGCAGGATGCAAAATTAATGTGAAGAAATCGAATGCATTCTTATACACCAATGATGAACTCACAGAAAGAAAAACTAAAAAAAAAATCCCATTTATCATTGCGGCAAAAATATTAAGATACCTAGGAATAAACTTAACCAAAGAAATAAAGGACCTATTCACAGAGAACTACAGGTCATTGAAAAAAGAAATAGAGGAAGATATACAAACGTGGAAGCACATACATTGTTCATGGATTGGAAGAATTAACATCATTAAAATGTCCATACTACCCAAAGCAATTTATAGATTCAATGCAATCCCCATGAAAATACCTACGACATACTTCACAGAACTAGAACAAATACTTCAAAAGTTCATATGGAACTAAAAAAGACCTTGAATAGCCAAAGCAATCTTAAAAAAGAAGAACAAAGTTGGTGGGATCACATTACCAGATTTCAGGTTATACTACAAAGCCACTGTAATTAAAACAGCCTAGTACTGGCACAAGAACAGGCATATAGACCAGTGGAACAGAACAGAAAACCCAGAAATGGACCCAAGGCAATATTCTCAATTAATATTTGACAAAGGTGGCAAGAGCATACAGTGGAGTAAAGACAGCCTCTTTAATACATGGTGTTGGGGAAAATGGACAGCTACATGCAAAAAAAATGAAACTAGACCATCAACTTACACCATACACAAGAATAAACTCAAAATGGATAAAAGACTTAAATGTGACTCATGAATCCATAAAAATTCTAGAAGAAAATGTAGGCAACAAAATTTCAGACATCATACACAGCAGAATTTTCACTCATACATCACCTAAGGCAACAGAAACAAAGGAGAAAATGAACACATGGGACTACATCAAACTAAAAAGCTTCTGCACAACAAAAGAAACAATCATCAAAATGGAAAGGCAACCCACTGTATGGGAGAACATCATTGCCAATGATGTATAAGATAAGGGGTTAATTTCCAATATATATAGAGTGCTCATACAACTCAACAAAAGGAAGACAAAGAGCCCAATTAAAAAATGGGCAGAGGAACTAAATAGACACCTCTCCAAACTGGACATACAAATGGCCAAGAGACATATGAAGAAATGCTCAACATCACTAATCATCAGAGAGATGCAAATTAAAACAACAATGAGGAATCACCTCACACCTGTCAGAATGGCCACCATCAACAAATCATCAAACAACAAGTGTTGGTGAGGGTGTGGAGAAAAGGGGACTCTAGTACACTGCTGGTGGGAATGCAGACTGGTGCAGCCACTATAGAAAACAATATGGTGCTACCTCAAAAAATTAAAAATTGAACTGCCATTTGACCCAGTGATCCCACTTCTGGGAATATACCCTAAGAAGCCTGAAACACCAATCAGAAAGACTATATGTACCCCCATGTTCGTAGCAGCATTATTTACAATAGCTAAGATCTGGAAACAACCCAAATGTCCATTAGTAGACGAATGGATAAAAAAGCAGTGGTACATATACACAATGGAGTACTATGCAGCTGTAAGAAAGAGAGATCTTTTATCCTTTGAGGTGACATGGAGGGACCTGGAAAGTATTATCCTAAGCAAAACAAGCCAAACAGAGAAAGACAAGTATCATATGATCTCACTTATTTGTGGAATATAATGAACATAACAGTCTGAGGAATGGGGTAGTCCCAGAGTCGTGGAAGTGGGGTACAGAATGACAATCCCCAGAAGGGGGGGGGATAAACCACAGAACTTATATTTATGTATGCAAGAACAATGAACATGGACAACAAAGCTGGGGACAGGACATGGAGGGAGGGGAAGGGGGGAATCAGTGGGGAAAAAAGGAGAAACATCTGTAACAAAAATAAATTAATTAATAAAAAAGAAAATGAGCAAGCAGAACAGAAACAGACTCATAGATACAGAGAACTTTTTGATGGCACCCAGATGGGAGGGGGTTGAGGGCATGGGTGAAAAAGGTGAAGGGATTAAGAAGTACAAATTGGTTGTTAGATGGACAAACCTCAAATGGAAGGGGGGGTGGTGGAAATAGATAAACCAAAGAACTTATATGCATATATGCATAACCAATGGACACAGACAATAGTGTGGGGAAGGAAGGGGGTGGGGGAGGGGAGGAGGGGGTCAAGGGGAAGGGAAAAGGAGGGACCTCTGTAATACTTTCAACAATAAAGATAAATTGGCCTTGGCCGGTTGCTCAGTGGTTAGAGAGCCAGCTCGTGGACCAGAGAGTAGCAGGTTTGATTCCAGTCAAGGGCAGGTACCTCGGTTGTGGTTTGGACCCTGGTCCTGGTTGGGAAGCAACCAGTGGATGGGTCTCTCTCACATCAATGACTCTCTCTCTTTCTCTCTCTCTCCCTCACATTCTATCTGAAGATAAATAGAAAAATATCCTTGGGTGAGGATTTAAAAATAAGTAAATAAATAAAATAAAATGTACATGTATGATAGGATTTTAACATGCAAAAAAAGAAAACCCACAAAAAACAATAAAGATAAGTTAAAAGAAAAAAATGAAACAGCCCTGGCCGGTTTTTCTCAGTGGTTACAGCATTGGCCCTAGGACCAAAGTGTTTCGGGTTCGATTCCGGTCAAGGGCATGTACCTCGGTTGCAGTTTGGTCCCTGGTCCTGGTCTGGGTTGTGCAGGAGGCAATCAATAGATGTGTCTCTCTCATGCTGGTGTTTCTCTGTTTCTCTCTCTCTCTCTCTAACCCTCCCTCCTACTTTATCTGAAAATAAATCGAAAAATATCCCCGGGTGAGGATTAAAAAAAAAAAGAAACAGAGGAGGAAATATGTGTTTACTGAATTGATTTTCTTATGGCAAAATCAGACACTGTAATCTGAAAACAAACAAAACAAAAATACTTTTAAATGCATTTCCCCACAACAATGAGGCGTCCCTCAAAGTAAACTGAAAATAATTATCTCTTATGTATATATCTGTAACCACTGTGTGGGTGGGCAACAAATGTGTTATTTACAGTTGTCGGATGTTACAAATTAACTCTTACTCCGCCCACCTGTGCTCTCGAGTACTCAAACCTGTGGCAGACAGCTCCTGTTGGGGACCCGCCCAGCCTCCATATCCACGATGCGTTCCTGCCTAGGAGCACCCCGACTTTATTTTGGAGAAACAACCCCTTCCATTCCCAGTTTCTGTGATTCAGGGCAGCTGAGACCACCCCCAGGAGGCCCAGGTCACTGTATTCCAGCAGCCGAGCACACGATTTGTTCAGGGACGACAAGCACGTGACCTGAGTCATCCCAGTTAGATTCAGCCCTGGAGCTTCTGCTGGAATCATCGAGGACTCCAGATCTGGGGAGCTGAGCTGGTGGGATGTGAACCTAGAGCTGCTGGCAGCCATTCTGTCGCCATGAGGAGGGAGCCAGCCAGAGAGTGAAGCCAACGAAGAAAAGCTGAGAGAAGAGAGGCAAAGTCTGCAAGTCAACATTGGCACCCAACCCGGAACTTTCCCTGGACCTTTCCATGACCTGAGCCAGTCAAGTTCCTTTTCCCAGAAGCCAGTTTGAGGCAGTTTCTGTTCCCTACAGCTGACGGAATACTAGCTAAAATAGAAAGCAGACCAGAAAATGTGACTTTTTTTGTTACAAAATCAATACATTATTCGCAACACTTTTCATATAATCAAAAATTACTCAGCATATCAGTCAAAAAGAGACACAAACTTTTGACCTGTGGTCTCAAAGCATGCCGGGGTCCTCAGGTTTGGGGAGCCACAGAGCAGCCCATTCCAGGGTTTGCTCCCCCAGTCTCCATTTTCATCCCATCCCAGCACCCCTGTGCCCCCCCCCCCCCCCCCCAGCTTTCAGGAGAAGTCTCTCTCTGCCGCCCCCACGCCCAAAGGTCGCAACTGCAGGCTTCTCCGCTGTTCTCTTGGTGAATCCTGGCGAGTGAGCTCGGCCACCGGCCCCCATTGCTCCCCAGCTCAGTGACTGGCTGTGGCCAGCAGGGCTGCAAACATGGACCCGGGCTTCCTCCGCAGGACCTCAGGCCTGTCAAACTCTACCACCTGGGCATGGAGAAAGGAAGGGACAGGGACACCGCTGAGCTCAGCCTGGAAGGGTCCGAGGGCCTCCTGGCACGAGCAGCCCAATGCGGCTCTCACCCTCCCGTTGTCCATGACCAGGATGCGGTCACAGCTGAGGACGGTGGTGATGCGGTGGGTGGTGATGAGCACGGTGCAGCCCTGGAAGGCTTCGCGGATCGTGCGCTGGATCAGGGCTTCGGTCTCGATGTCGATGGACGTGGTGGCTTCATCAACGAGGATGATCTGGTGAAGACACGACAGGGTGGAGGCAGCCTCCGTGGGCCCCGAGACCCGGGTCTGGTCCTGGGCCGACCACTCCTTCACCGCAGACCCTTCGCTGGAAGTGGAGAGCTTTGGACGGAGTTCAAAACCCAGCGGGCGCTCCCGTCACCGGTTACGCTGTGAAGAGTAGTCTCCACCAAGCTGACTATTTTTAGTGACTGGAGATTAAGTCCTTGAAAATGACCCGGTGGCACGTCTTGTTTTAAGAACTGCCTTCCCGTTTGCCCACATGAACGCAGAGCAGAGGGCCCACAGCGGGGCAGGCGCCCCCGGGGGGCTCGCCAGACGCAGCCCATCTGTGGCTAATTGCTCTTCTTACTGCAGCACTTCCGTGTTGGCTGCACTAACAACACGCATTAAGAGACTAACTAGCACAGAAAGTGGGATTTCACGCGTGTGAGTTTAAGATGAGCCCGTCCTTAGAAAGAGGGCATCGTCGGTAAATCAGAGGACACACAGATATGACAAAATTCACATGTGCACGTGTGTGGGAGGTGCATGTACACCTGTGTGTGTGCATGTGCACATGTGTGTACACGTACGCATGTGTACCTGTGCGTGTATGTGTTGTGCAAGTGCATGTGTGCTGCCTTGCTTGTGAGAGAAAGCTTGTTCCTAACGAGCCCATGTAGTCAAATTGCTGAAATTCCTGGCAAATTGTTTGGGAACTCCATCAGACGACACTTTTCAAGCCTTTGTAACATTGAGCTTCATGTCTCAACTCTAATGAGCACAAGGGAGCATCCTGCACCCAAGTTTTAAAAAGGATGCATAGTGGGCAACTTTCAAATTAGCAAGTTTCTGGCCTGTAGCTTTTGGGCTCCAGGGGTGGACCATTCTGGCTCAGGCAGATGTCAGGGCTGAGGGCCCAGGTGTGCGCCCCTGCCCCCCATCCCTCACTGCCCCAGACACGTATGGCCCGGCCCTGTGGTGATGGAGGGACACAGCCAGTGTGTCCCCTCCCGGCGTCCTCCCGGGCCTCTCCTAGTCTCACCTTGCAGTTTGGAAGGAGGGCTCGAGCCAAGCAGAGAAGCTGTCTCTGCCCCACGGAGAAGTTCTTGCCGTTCTCCTCGACTTCTGCCTGCAGTCTTCGCGGTCACTTTAAGATCTGAGATACGGGGCAAACGAAAGAGGTCCAGTGGGCCTGTGGGCCTGTGGGCCTGTGGGCCTGTGGGGTGAGACCTGACCTGACCTCCTCCTAAGGCCCCGTCCATTCTGTATCGCTCCTCCGCTCTCTCTGCACCCAGCTGTCTCCTTCCTTCCTGCGCCGCTCAGGATCTGTCTCAGCTCCAGGGTCCGGTCCTCAGGGGCCCTGCCTGGCCAGCCACGAAGAGGAGCTGCTGCCCCTCGGAAGTGCTGTGGTCCTATTGCGACCTCGCAGTTCGCACCCCCACCGGGAAGTGTCTCTGCTCAGCGGCTTGGTGCTTTTACCACCCACTGAGCGCAAGAGCCCGAGGGAGCGGCCTTCCCCGCCATGCCCCTGCGTGTCCCTGAGCCCTCAGCCTTTCCTGGGAGCCCAGCTCTGGGAGCCGGTGTCAGCCCGGCCCCGAGCCGCACCACCTGACACCGTGTGGGCGGCGCGCCTGTCCAACAGGCAGGTGAGGCCCAAGAATTAGGCTACTTGAGTCTTGCTCAGGAATGTCTTCTCCAAGATGTCCCGGACCTGCTCATCTGTGTAGCGATCCAAGGGGTCCAGGTTTAACCTCCACGAGAGGAAGACAGGTGTTTAGTAACCACCTCGACCGCAGAGCAGCCGGTCCTGCGCACAGGGAACCACCAAGAACGGCTAGAACCGGACCCCGGGGCTACGGAAACCGTGGGGCTACCAGGAGCGGGCATTTCCTGTGCCCGTCGGCACCCGTTCTTCCTGCAAGCAGAAGCCCCATGAGTTCTCTCTGGGGGCCACCTGTCCCCCAGCCCCCAAGCCCATGTGGTCCAGGTGGGACTCTCTTACCAGCTTGGGGGGGGGGGGCAAGTGACTCAGGTGTAAGCAGTGAGCACTCAGCAACCCTCCCTCAGGGATTAGTCGGGGTGGAAGGTCACCACAGAGTGCATCTCAGGACCTTTAAAGCTCTTTCTCCAACTGACCAGGAGAGACTGCAACACAGGGAGTCCCCTGGGGCCCTCACTGGAGCCCAGAAATAAAGCAAAGCAGACCTAGGGGGCACTGGGCCCTTGAATCCGCCTTGGCCTTCCCGGGGTCGTGAGCCAAAGGAGGACTTTATAGCTTAAGCCATTTTCGATGTGTGTGTGTGTTAAAATATACATAACATGTTTATCGTTTTAACCATGTGTAGGTATACAGTTCAGGGCATTAAATACATCCACGATGTGTAACCATCCACTAAAACTCATCCCCAACAAAAACTCTACCCATCAAACAATATCCCCACCAGCCCCTGGTAACGCCTTCTATTTTCTGCTCATGGATTTGCCTATTTCAGGTGCCTCATTTAAGTGGACATAGATCATATCTGTCCTGCTGTGTCTGGCTGATTTCACTCAGCATAATGTGTTCAAGGCCCAGCCATGTTGCAGCATGTATCAAGTTTATATCTATACATAAAATATAGAGTGTATATATCATACTTTCTTCATATCTCTGATCTAGCTATTACCTCTTTGTATTACAATTAGTCAGGTCTTATGTCTCTGATACATCCCCTCCCCCCAACTACACTGTGAACTCCTGGTGGAGGCCCGGGTAGGAGCAATGGTGATTCTCGTAAATGTCCCCAATCCCTAGCCAGTGTCTGGACCTGGCAGAGTTTCTGAAAAGATAAACTAAATGGATGAGTAAATGAATGAATAAGTGAGTGAATTAATGAATGAATGAATGAATCGATTGATCGATCCATCAGAATCAATGGCGCTCTGAGGTCCGTTTATGCTCTTGCCTCTGAGATGCCCCTGAAATGTCCCTGAAACCCGCGGCCCGCCAGGCCTGGTCCCACGCGGCCGCCGCGCACGGCCAAGCAGGAGCTCGTGTCTGGGTGAGTTTAGCTCCCGAGCTGGCTTCTGAGGACCCAGAAAATGTGGACCTGAGGCCTCCTCCTCTGCCTGCTCACGGCCCGGACTGCCCAGCTCTCCCTTCTCCTGCCTAGAACGGGGCCCTGTGGGGAGGCCCCTCCTGACATCTTCCTCAAATGCCCCGTGGCCGAGGGAAGAGAACCAGCTGCCTCCCTCCTCCGGACGTGAAAGTGCGTGGCCACAGCGCAGGAGCTGAACAGCGAACTGAAGGCTGACCGTCGGGTTTCAAAAATTAAAAAGACACTCTGCTTTCATTTGCACAGCACGGCTCACAAAGCACCTTGCATCTGCCGGGGTCCCCTCGACCTTCCGGGACAGCTGCGAATTAAACTCAGCCTCGTATGTGTTTTGTTTCACACAAAGGATTACTGTCATTTTTAAAATTCGTTGCCAAAATTTTTAAAAACCCGAAGATCCTTTGTATGAACTTCACACCGTATGCGTCAGGCCCGTGTCCGCAGGGTGGTGAGCGGCCGGAGCCGAGCAGAGCTGTTTCCCTGAGAGACCCATCTTCTCCCGCTCACCACGGGGTCCTCCCGGCCCTCGTCACCCATCGATGCCACTTGCCAGGCCCCTAACACATTTGCATGTTCAACCTCTGCTCCAAAAGATAAGGTCGGCGGGGTGGCAGCTGTGTGTCTGATCACCTCACGTTCCCATTGCCCGGCTCAGTGCTGCTCAGTAACTGCCTACGGAGTGGACGGAGCCATGTGGCCCCGGGTCCACCCGGAGCTCCTCTGTGCCAGCCCTCGGCCCTCACAAGCTACCCGCCGGGACAGACAGAAAGGGAGGGCCGCCCTGGAGTCCAGCCTGAAGCCCTGCACCGGGCAGCAGTGTGAGGCCGGCAGGGGCCTGAGGAGGAGCAGACCCAGGAAGGCTCCAGTCATCCCAGGGGACTTCCTGGAGGAGGCAGCTCCAAGGTGCACAAGAGAGGGCAAGATCCCAGTCGGAGCAACAGCTGAGAACAAGTGCAGAGTGGGAGGGAGTGACACTTGGACCAGACCTCCCAAAAGTGACAGGAGAGGGAGGGAAGGAAAGAAGTCAGGAGAGGGGAGAAGAAAGCTGATAAAAGTCTAGGAAGGAAGGGCTGGGGAGGGGGAAAGGGGAGGGGACTCAGATTGCACCCCTTGCCCTGCTCTGAGCCCTGCCTGAAGCGCCGGCCCCTCCCCTGCACCATTTTTCCTTCCTGTCCCCGCTCCCACGCTGGCCTCAGAGCCCAGGCCACCATAGCTCCAGGACCACCGACCCTGTCCCTCTGTCCGACACCACCCTCCTCTGTCCTCCGGCGCACACCACACCTACAATGACCTCACTTACCTCCTTAGCTCAGACCCGTTCAACACCTCTCTCCTGCACGGGGTCCCAGGGCAGCGAGGACGCTGGGGCTGGGGCAGGGCCCAGCACAAAGTGAGGGCCAGCAAACATCTGTGGGGTCACAGCAAACCCAGGATGAAAACAGGCCTGCTACCCGAAGGCCAAAGTTGGGGGCCGGGGTGCCCAGGATGCTCAGCTCACCAGAGCCCGTCCTGCCCACGATGCCCACCACTTCTCGGCCGTGAATGGTCGGGCTGATGCCCTTGAGGACAACGGGGGTGTTGTCTCGGTATTTCACGTGATAATCCTGGAAGGAGATTTCTCCGTGCGGCGGCCACCCCTGGGGGCAGCTTGTGCCTCCGACGTGGAAGGGAGCCTCGGGGGCACTCATCTCGTTTTTGAGGAAAGAAAAAGAAACCAGCAGTTACCATCCACCTCTACCCAACCCCTGCAGACCCCCCGCCCCAGCCTGCCCTGAGTCACCATCGAGCCCCAGCTGTGTGACCCTCCGGAGGGACACCCCAAGAACATCCCTGACCCCACTTTCCTGAAAGGCACGTAGTTCTATCCCAAACGAATGAGAAACCCTATAGCTAGCCCCTCCTTGTTAATACGAGAGCATTCTCTAAGTTGATGTCTGAGGTTCTAAAGAAACAGAATCAGAACCTTGAGAATGAGGGCGGCAGAGAGCGCCCCCGTGGGGCGTGTTTGGCAGCTCAGAGCCCCGGGACTCGGTCTCGGTCCTTGTCCTAGCAGGTGGGCGCCTTTACACACGTATCACAGGTGCGGACACGGATGCCCAGACAGCGTGAAGGACGTGTGTGAGGTGACACAGCTGGACAGCGAGGGCTCCAGCCCACGGCGCACACCAAGCGCAGGTGGGCGTGTCGGCAGGAAAGGACGATGGAGAACAGGGTCACCTGGCTGCGAGCCCAGCTCCCCACCGCCCGCACAGCGCCCCCACGGCGGCTCTCAGAGCTCAATCCAAGCTCTGCAGTCCACAGGTTCTGCACAAGCCCTGGCTGTGTCCGCTTCCGCGAGATGCTCAGCTTGGCCACGCCTCAGTTTCCTCTTCTGGGTAATGGGGGTATGACATCGACTTCATAAAGTGGTTCTGCGATTCGGTGAGATGACCGAGCTATGATGATAGTGAGCCTTTCCTACGGGCGGGGAGCTGCCAGAAACTTTAGGTCACGTTATGTAATCTTTGTAATAGCCCAGTGACATAGGTGACCTTTCCCATTTCAGAGGCGGTGGACAGAGGCCGTGTCCAGTGCCCCAGGCTGCAGGGCTGATTCAGCGGCAAAGCTTAGACTTGAACCTGGGTGAGCTGGCTCGAAATCTGTGCACTGAACTACTGGGACATACATAGAAGCGACAGTAAGGACGATCGTGATGGTCACTATTATTATTATTAGACGCGGGCAAAGCTCTCATTTCTAAAAAGGGGAGATTGGTCCGGCCGGAGTGGCTCAATGGTTGAGTGTTGACCTGTGCACCAAGAGGTCGCCGGTTCGATGGGGACATGCCCAGGTTGTGGGCCCCATCCCCAGTGGAGGGCATGCAAGATGTGGCCGATCGGTGTTCTGTCTCATCGATGTTTCTATCTCTCTCTCTCTCCCTTCCTCTCTCTCTAAAATCAATAAAGGAAAAAAATCTTAAGTAAAAAATGCAAGGGGGAGCTTGTTCCTTCTTCATCCAGGGTTGCTGGCACGTGGAGAGGTTGGTCAAGACGAGCCGAGGCTGCGAAGCGCCGCGGAGACGTGGTACACAGGTTTGGGGGGACGGGGGGACGGGCGCAGCCCTGGGGCCGCCTGGGAAAGTCTCAGGCCCCGGGACTCGCAGAGGCCTCGGAGCTGAGCCCTGGGCTCGCACCCGATGCAGGCCGCACCCCACCTTCATGTACTGCAGCACCCTCTCCACCGCCATGAAGTACGCCTCCGACTGCGACCCCTTCTGCACCGTGGTCTGGAAGTTGGAGGCCAGCTGGGGGAGGAGAAGCGGCAGGGCCCGTGGCAGCTGGGGGCACACAGGCTCTCCGTGGTCCTGAAACTTCATTGCCCCGCCACCCAGCGGCTCCTCAAACCAAGACGGTCTCCTGCGAGAATGGAGCAGCTGTCTCTGGGGCCCCCGAGCCCACTCCTGAGTTTGGTGCAGCTGCGGCGGGCAGTTCTGGGCAGTTCTGGGCAGTTCTGGGCAGTTCTGGGCAGACTCCCATGGACACCGTGTTCCACCCCACGCCACCCCCATGCACAGAAGCCCCAAAGCAGCTGAGTGGAGGCCCTGGGAGCAGCCCTCACCTCGTGGGGTAGGAGCCCGTAGATGAGGGCACCTGTCTCTGCCTTCAGACAACCTGGGAGCATCCTGTCCGCTTCTCAGGAGATCCCAGTGGAGCGACCTAGAACTGTGACTTCAATGACTCTCGTGGTGAAATCCCTCCTTCCCTGTCACTGTCCTGCTCCCTCGGGCCTGTTTTCTAGAAGCATTTCCCAAATAATCTGCCTGCACCCGAGTCCTTGCCTTCAGAGGAATCCAGGCTAAGAGGAGTCTCAGGGCCTCCGGGGTTGGAGGCACCACAGGGGAGGAAACTGAGGCCCAGAAGGAGAAAATGACACTCGGCTCCTCTCTGCAGGCGAGATGGTGACAGCTAACAGTCCTCAAGCGTTGGTCCTGGGCCCGAACCTGCACTGACACCCACGCACACGCCGCCCTCACGAGCCTCTCATCTACTATCTCCCTTTCACAGATGAGGAGGACGACAGACCACCCCAAAGCCACACTGCTAATGGCGGCAGCGGCCGGGGTGGCCCTGCATGTCCCAACCACACCTTCTTCACCACATTGCTGGGTCCCGGGCACGCGGCAGCAATGCAGAGGAGCCACGCCCGCAAGCGCCTGGCTCAGTGCCAGCTCGAGTCCAGCTCCCGTTAAATCCCACTGGCCAGCTGCGTGTGGGCACCGCACGGCCATCAGTGTGGCCCGTGCGCCTGGGAAGGTCCTGCACACGCAGGTGTGCATGAGGGCAGCGTGTGTGTGCATATGCGTGCCTGCTGCGGGGTCACCACGGAGCAAGGCGGACCCCTTGCTTACCCCAAAGAAGGGTCAGCACTGGGCCCACAGCCTGCAGCCAGGTGGAGAGAAAGCCACTCGGTTCCTGCACACGCGGGGGAGGGGCGCCCTGGACGGTGCAGCCAGGGTTCCCTCGAGGACGACCCTCCCACGGGAGTCTGTGGACATGCCCCGGCCAGCCAGTGCCCGCTCCCCACCCCAGTGCCCCAGACGGCACATTGACTGCGCCATCAGAACACCCCGACAGCCTGTCTTCACAATCAGATTCCCAGGGCCTGACTCCATGCTCTGCAGCGGGGTGTGGGCCCAGGCTGAGTACGCCTCCGAGGACAGGGACCCCTCCCTACTGAACAGCCTCCCCAGGTAACTCAGAAAAGTCTGACACCTGGGCCAGGGTATAACAGTAGAGCGAAAAGATACCAGCCAGGCGACGGAGAGGCCAGGGCTCTTGTTCTGAATCCCCTTCAAGTCCAGTATTTGACGATTCCACTTAATATCTTTAAACACAGGCCTCCCAGCTCAGAGGTAATGAGGAGACGGAGCAGCAGATTCAGACAGCCAGGCACACGGCCCACAGGCCCACACACGGCTCACAGGCCCGCACACGGCCAAGTCCAAGGTGTGAGCAAAGCCCCTGGATGCGCTGAGCCCGCCCACGGCCGCAGACCACACCCCCACTGTCTGAGTCCTCTCTCACCTGCAGGGTGAGGCTGATGGCCATGGCTTTATAGGAATGGGACACGGACGAAGTGCTGAAGGCCACGGCCAAGGTCGCCAGGTCGGTCATCAGCTCCAGCCTCAGGGCCACCCGCTGCATGGAAGACAGAAACATCATCTGGTAGTTGCTCTGCACACCGGTCAGCCTGTGAAACCTGGGAAGGAATGGACAGCCTGAGAGCCCCCGTGTCTGCCTGCCCCCTGGTTTCCCAAGCGTGGGCACCTGTGGCTTCCTCCAGCGTCTGGCCCCCACCCCCACCGCCACAACCTGACTTCTCTGTGGGAGATTCCTCCCCACCCCTTTCCCAGCCATGGGGTTGACCTGAGCCCAGATCTCGGCTCTGAGCCACGTAGGCCCAGCCCCACATGCTCGTCCTGGCCTGTGCCTGGTTCGGGGATGGGTGAGTCACCTTCATGGGGCCAAGGAGGATACGTAAATGCCAGGGTCTATGAGCGGGCGAAGGCGGTGGTCCCTCCCTCCCCACCTCCGAGCAGGGGCTGACTGTCTTGTCCACCTGCAGGTGCTGAGTACCTGCTGGGCTCTCCATGTTGACCACCTGAGAGCATCCCTCAAGGACCCTCAGCCCTAACGTCTGCACCACCCTCGGGTGTTCGTCAGGGCCACTTGGAGAGCTGGTGCCAAGCTTCATCCAATATTCCAGTTCACTGAACACACACCATCCCCCATGCCCACAGCTTCCCCAGAGCCTCCCCTGACCCCCCAGCAGGTCACCTCTCCCCTCTGAACAACTTTGACATTTTATCACTCCTCTCCTGCGCTGCCCGTCACGTTCGACCCTGGATCACTACACACACGTCGTTCTTGTGTCTCCCACCTTCCACCAGACCGAGCGTCCTGTCCATCGGCGCAGACCACGTTTGACTGGTCGTCACAAGTAGCTAAGTTCGTAGGACACAGTTAAGCCCCAGCAGCAATCATTGGATTTTTGTTTGTTTCAACAAACATTTAGAAGGTAAAGCAATGGGTGTGGATATAATGAAGGGAATTCTGGTATTTAGAAAGTTCTTGCTCCTTCTGATTTTATGAAAAGTAGACACCTGTTCAAGAGAGAAAGGAAAACCAGTGGGAAAGGGCTGACTCAGTGGTCCTTCTGACCACTGACCACGTGAAGAGACCTGTGCACAGGTGTTCCCGCTCTGCAGACACTTCCTGCATCGCTCACATGGCTTTTGTTCTCGTGCGCATCGTCTTACAGAGCAGGCTCCGGAGGCTCCGAGAAGTGAATGGATAAAACAAAGTTCTCTCTGATCCTTGTGCAGACGATGCTGTTCCCCGTGCTCTGCTCCCCGCCACCCCACGGTCCCAGCACCCTCAGACGGCAGAAGAACTCACTCGCTGATGGCGTCTTCGGTTTCCCCGTGGACATGGATGGAGCTCCGACTGCGCGCGAGGTTAGGATGTGGGGGGAGAACGGGGAACGGCTGTAGTTCTCCAGTCTCTCGAACACGTTGGTGGCCCTCTTCAACTTCCTGCATTGAGAATGGCGGGCGTGACCTGGCCAGGCAGCGCTGGGTCACCCATGTCTAGGTGGGTCCCAACCTCAAGCCCCGAGGCACAGAGCTCATTCACAAGCAAAAAGAACCCGCTCACGTAGAATAAATGAAGCAAACGATGACTATGGTGACTCCGATCAGCATGATGAAAGGAGACAGCACACCGACTGTCACCAGGTTGGTGATCACCCACAGGAACATGAGCAGGACCTCCTCGGACACAAGGGGCAGTGACTGGTCCAGCTCATTCAGGTCCCCTGCAAAGCAGTTCAAGAGTCGGCCCGTGGGGTTGTGTCAAAGTGTTATAACCCAGTAATTCTCCATCTGCTAGAAGAAGGAACCTCTCCTGGGTTCCTTGAACCCGAGTTGTTTTTGCAAAAATTCTTGAAGAGGAAGGTATGCATCAGCCATGACCATGAGCTTAACTAATCAGGAGATGCCAGATGGGACAATGAGACATCAAGGCTGGGGTTTAGTAAATGTTAAGGAATATAAAACAAACAACTTGTGCAGTTACTAACTGCTGATATCTGCTTCTGTACACGCAGCTTGCTTGCTCTGCTAAACTCGTGAGTAACCCCTGTGCTATATAAGCAACCCTCCCCCTGAGCTCGGGGCTGCAGTTCTCCTCTGTGTAGGTTGGCTGCAGTCCCTGCGCAGGTAATAAAGCTCCTAATATTCAAAATTACTTGATGTCTGAGTGAGGATGACTCTCCTGAGTTACAACAAAAGAAGCTCATGGGGCAGCAGGAAACCTGCAGAGACAAAAGCTTGGGATCTGATCGGGAGAGGAAGCTGGCTTTGCTGAGACTTGACTTATCCTTTGGGTCTGGAGAGGGGCAGGACGCAGCCGGAGGGGCATGGGGGTGGTCGTATGGAGTCGTGGTTAATAGCAGGGGCTCCGGGGTAGATCTGCTTGGGCTCCAGAGCCGCGGACTTCTCCACCGACTGCTGTGTGACCTTGGGCAAGTTGCTTGACCCCTCTGAGTCTCAGTGTCCTCATGTGTAAGGTGGGGATGATAACAGCGCTTCATAGAATTGTGGTGAAGATTGTATAACGCCACTAATTCACTAAAAATCTCTGAGTGGTACGATTTAAAAGGGTGAATTTTATGGTCATGTGAACTATGTCTCCATAGAGCTGTTATTTAAGAAGGAAGGAAGGAAGGAAAAAGAAAGGAGGGAGAGAGAAGGGAGGGAGAGAGAAGGGAGGGAGAGAAACAGGAAATGTACAGAAAGTGCTCGGAACAGCACCTGGCTCTGGTCAGCAGCCGTTCGTACCAGCTCTTCTTACTTCCGGTGATGGGACCATTTTCACTCAAGATCACCGAGGACTGGTAACAAGCCCACGGTGGCTGCATATGACCTGGCATCTCAGAAGTGAGCCCTGACTGCCCCTTCTTGGAGGTGGGTTCCCAGCCAGCTCTCTGAAAGTGCTGGACACGCTCTGGCTGGGTGGTTCCGTGGCTGGAGCATGTTTACACACCAGGAGGTGTGTTACATTTGGGACATTTGTTACAACTGATGAGTCAGTATGACTCTATTATTATTGTTGTTGTTGTTGTTAACTAAAGTCCTGGACACGCTCTGGCTGGATGTTCAGTGGTTGGAGCGTGTTCGTGCACCAGGAGGTTTCGGGCTTCATTCCCGGTTGGGGCACAAACCTAGGTTTCGGGTTCGATCCTGGTCGGGACATGCACGGGAGGCCACCAATCGATGTTTCTCTCACATCAATGTCCCATTCTATGGACCTGAGTTAATAACAACAACAACAATAATAATAATAACGATAGATTCCTACTGACTCATCAGTTGTAACAAATGTCCCACACTAATGCAAGATGTTAATAAAAGGACAAGGTAGGGGTTGGTGAGGGGCGTTCGAGAACTCTCTGTACTTTCCACTGTTTTTCTGAAACCAAAAACTGCTCAGACGGTCAAGTCTAGTGAGGAAACCGGACGGGGGAGGTCGGGCTCCACCTGCGGCGGCCGTACCTTGTCCAAGAGCTTGTCATGCAGCCCGCGGACGCCTTCCTCGTGAGCTTGCTGAACGCGGCCGAGGAGCACACCCCACACAGGGGAAGACCAGGGGGGTGAGGCCGAACACCAGTTTGTACAAGGACAGGCAGGGGTTGTCCAGGGTGTCGCCTGGGTCTGCGGCTCTCTCGGCTGCTATTGGTCTTCAGGAGAGAACGGGATGTGGTAGGATAACAAAGTGCGCTCGGGGCGCCTTTTGTTCCAACACGTGGCCTCTGGCTCTGGGTCCTGATACAAGAGCTTAGACTTGGAGTCTCCGCAGTAACAAGAGTCTCGGTAGCTCATGAGATGGCCAGTGGCTGGGCCCTGACGGCTCAGGATAGAGGCTGGTCACCAGAGAACCGAGCCCTGAGTCAAAGCCTGGAACTTCTAGCCCCCCCACCCCAGGGTGAGGAGGGGGCTGCAGCTCACATCAATCATTACACGTGGCTGTATATCGGAGCCGAACTCTAACATGGATTTTAGCGCTTAAGTCGACGGCTTGGGGGACCCCAGCCCTCCGATGAAAGCCGAGGTGTGGCCCGAGAACGGACTTGGTTCCGGCCAGCACACTGCCCCGCGCTCCCTTCCCCGGGACTTTCTCATCGGGCTCCCGGGGCGAGTCCGCCTCTTTCCAAGGCAGGCAGCTCTCTCAAGGGCCCGAGACCCGCCCTTAGGAATGGAGTCACCGCAAGGAGAGGGCCCCTGCCTCCCGGTGTCCGTGGGAGGATGGACTCCTGGCTTCCTGTGTCCCCGGGGAGATGTCACCCGCCCCTCCATCCTTCTTCCTTTGAGACGCCCGGGTCATTTCTGCACGGATCAGAAGGGCGCTCAGCCCTCCCTGCTGTCGGTAGTGGCGGAATCGACGGCTTCTCCCCGATTTCCCTCAGCCCACACGTTTTCTTTGGGTGGCTCCCACGCCCACCCAGAGCAGGGGCATGTTTTACTCACAGAGCGAGAAGGCACAAGTGCCACCAAAGGAAAGTGTCGCCATGGTGGGGCACAGTTGGGCACAGAAACCTCTTGGTTTTGTCCCAGAAAGACTGCAGGGGTGACGGCTCATTCTGTGAGCACCGGTTAAAGCCGGGACAGAGGGAGCCCCGGGGGTCTGGCTCCCAGGGGTCCTCCCTGGAATTCCGTCTGTCATCTCGGCAAAGCAGGCCCTGGGCTGGTCGTGGGGTCCCGAGCCTGTGGCTGGCCCTCAGAGGAGCCCGTCAGAATTCACCCCACTCCCACCATGGCACTCACCCCTGAGCCCTGCTCCAGCCAGTAGCTCAGCCACCAGGATTTGAAGGCCGAGAGGGCGACGAACACCACGATGAGAAGGACGGCGAGGACGGCGACCAGGTACCCTGGGAGGGGGAGGGAGGTGACGGGGTGCCCCAGGAAGGAGCACAGCAGCTGCTGACCGAGCTGCTCATCACCCCAGGCCCGTGGATCTCCCGTCCACCTTGGACGCCTCGAAGGACCAGAAAGAGCTGGGTTCTGAGGTCAGAAAGCCCTGGGTTCGAAGCCTGGCGCTGCTACTTACTAACACTGTGATCCCAGGCAAGGTACCAAATGTCAGTGGCATTTTGCTTCCTGAGCTGTGAAGTGACAAGAGTCACACCAGCCCCCTGGGCCACTCTGGAGAGGACATGAGATGATATGTGTCTGGCACCCGGCCAGTGTCTGTCAGAGCGGTGTTCTAGAAAGGTTAGTTCCCCTCACACAGGGCCGGGGGGTCCAATTTTCTAAGGAACACCATCGGCCACCTCTTAGGTGGTGCGTACTCGTGTGTGGGGCGTGCCGGGCCTGATGCGGGACACGGGCCTCTTTCTGAATTAGGGGTTCCTGTGCCCATTCACTGAGACTCCGTGAGGGGCTCCGCCTGACACAGGGTCCCTTCTGAGGTCAGTGAAGAGTAAGGAGTGGTCACAGAGTCACAGCTACTCTCAGAAATCTCTTAAACAACCCCGCAAATGCAGAACCACGCGCTTGGCTCGGGGTTTACAGCATCGTACGGTGACATGTGTTTGGACCGGGCCACACCCACCATTTCAGAGAGCAGTAGCTTTGAGCCTTCAGCGGCCCTCCGCCTTTAGCGGCACCTCTAACACGTCCAGGCAAAGCTTCGGCCGCGCTCCTCCCCGGCGATGGGCACGCGTCTGTCCCCCTCAGCGCTGCTGGGCGCTGAACCCCTCTCACTACGCAGTTTGAGAAACACTAACACCTGCACCGCTGTAGCCCTGACACCTGCATCACTGTAGCCCTGACACCTGCACTGCTGTAGCCACCTGCACTGCTGTAGCCCTGACACCTGCATCACTGTAGCCCTGACACCTGCACTGCTGTAGCCCTGACACCTGCACTGCTATAGCCCTGACACCTGCACTGCTGTAGCCACCTGCACTGCTGTAGCCCTGACACCTGCATCACTGTAGCCCTGACACCTGCACTGCTGTAGCCCTGACACCTGCATCACTGTAGCCCTGACACCTGCACCGCTGTAGCCCTGACACCTGCACTGCTGTAGCCACCTGCACTGCTGTAGCCCTGACACCTGCATCACTGTAGCCCTGACACCTGCACCGCTGTAGCCCTGACACCTGCACCGCTGTGGCCACCTGCACTGCTGTAGCCCTGACACCTGCACTGCTGTAGCCCTGACACCTGCATCACTGTAGCCCTGACACCTGCACCACTGTAGCCCTGACACCTGCACCGCTGTAGCCCTGACACCTGCACTGCTGTAGCCCTGACACCTGCATCACTGTAGCACTAGACTTTCTTGTGTCTTGTGTCCTGATGCTTTGGTACTGGGGCCCTGGTCCTGAAGAGGCTGCCTCTCCCAGGGTCAGCTGGTCCTTGGAGGTGGCAAACAGCCGCAGTGAGAGTGCCCATCCCCCCGCTGTGTCATCTGCCATGTTCACACACCCTGAGCCAGTGTTCCCCTGCCCTAGACCAGGCACCTGACAACTAGGGACCATCCCTATAGCCAGAGCCCCCCAAAACTGTTCAAACCTCTGATTCTGAGCTTACTCTGTGTACCTACCCGGCCTTGCCCACTCTTTCCCATGAAAACTCCAACAAGGTCTCTGAACCACACTCTCCTTTCTCACCCGCTCTGCCTCCTGACCAACCCTGGTGCCTCCCCATGTGGCCCAATGTGTCATTGAGAAGACAAGCCCGGTGCAGCCCCGTAGGTGGTGCAGAGACCCCGCCCCTGGCTTCTGTAATCCCCTTCCATCCACCAACCGCCTAAACTACAGCGGAACTAGAAGCCCCCAAATGCCTGGAGGCTTGTCATGTATAAAAGGCGGCTGGAACCCGGGCATGTGACTCCACTGGGTCAGCACCGGTGCATTTACAGTCCTTTCCTAGTCCTCCGAGCGCGCGCATCTGTCTCTCCCCACCGACCGCATTTCTGCCGCCACAGTGTGGCCTGCTGCTTCTAGGGATCTATGAGTATATACCTCTTCCTTCGACTGTGCTGCCCATGTCTGCATGTCTGACCAACCTGATGAAAACGAATCTCAGGGACATTGTAACACAAGCGCCCTTGGGGCCACAATCCCAGCATTGACCATGGTGGTGCTGGTGCCGTGACTGAGTGGCTGGGATCACGCGAGGTAACCCGTGTGGCATGATTTTCCGGTGCCTCTGGACCGCACACGACCTCACACCTTCCAACCTGAACCAGCCTTGGGCAGGGCATGGGCAGCTGACAGACGTACCCCCCGCTGCCTGGATGTACTCGTGGTAGACACGCCACGTCAGGGACCCTTCTCCCATCTCCTCCTTCTTCATGAGCTGATTGTCCAGCCCTGCGCAGGGGAGAGAAGAGAGAAATGATGACCCCGTTCTCCTTCCGGCATCGAGAGGAGTCCACCCTCTTCCAGCTCCTTCGCCTCCGGCTGCAGTGCCCGCCATCCGACCTAACCAGCAGCTTTCCCACGAAGACTCTAGACTCCAGAGTCTGGAAAGGGGGCCACCCCCAACTATCCAGTCAACCCTGGAGGGCCCGGAGTTCCCAGGAGCTGGCTGGGTTGAGAAAGGCAACTGGAGAAAATGAAGAAAGCAATGACCTCGGACTAGAAACCTGGGTTCCAGAATTGTCATCACAATGCTGTGCAACCTCAGGCAAATCACTTAACCTCTCTGTGTCCCCGTCTGATAACAGGCGGGCCTATAGGTGGAGAGTAAGGTGCTTTGCAGCAATACGCTTCTGAGACAACTCCCCAGAAGCAGCTGTGACACCAGCCCAGGCAGAGTCGGGGTCTAGAGCGGGGCAGGAGACGGGTACCGGAGGTGCCAGCAGACACTCCTGGGGACAGTGGCACAGGCAGCAGCGCCCTGGAGAGCACCAGTACTTCCCTGCCAAGCATCCTGCTCCTCAGAGCCCGCCCCAGTGTTTCCTGGGGGGCGGGTGCTCTTCTTGGCATTTGGATCGTGAGGGCAATTACACCAGAATGGAAAATATTTGGCATAGATTTTCTTCAAATCGATTTGCTGCTGAGACCCCAAAGTTGCTGAGGCCCTGGCGCTTCAACCTTCCTTGTCATTCTGTCGCCTGCGCCCTTGCCTTCCAATTACTTTTCTGCCCAGATCGGTGTCTGATCTTCACAGCTGGTGATGCCCTTGGTGACAGGGGTCTACAGTGTGCCAGACACTGTGCTGGGTCTCTTTAAACTGGACCTCATCTCAACTGCATGACGACTCTTGCCTTCACGTTTGCCAATGACGGCTCAGAGAGGTTAAGCTGCTTGGCCAAGGTCACACAGCTTTGCGAGCAGCAGGGCTGGGATGCAAACCCAGAACTTCTCTTACTTTACGAGGGAAGTCTCCCTGTTCTGCTGCCCTGTCTCAGAAAGGGGCGAGGCAGGAGCTGGGTGTTGGGGACCAGGCCCTGACCATCTCTGATTGCAATACCTTTGTTTTCAACACGAGCTTTCCACACACATGGAAGGCAAGTCCAGACGCCAAGTTTTCAGTTGACATCACTTCATGCTGAAGCCGCCCCATCCCGCCTGCACCTCTGCACACCCTCCAAGGTGCCCCGGACCACTCACTTCCTGGCCCCTCAGGTCTCCCAGCCAGCACAACCCACGCCCAAAGCCCCTGACTAGCAGGAACCTGTAGCCTGTATGTGTGATGTGCCAGATCCCCGACAGTCAGGGACACGGCCCAGTCTGGGCCCAGGAGGGAGTGCCGGGACCTTGGAGGACCCAGGCAGACATGAAGACGCCTGGCCTGTCCCCAGCGTCATTACCAGCATTGTCACTGAGAGACTCTTCCTGGAAGGTGGTCTGGGCCTGGCCTTCCCCCGGAGGCTCCTGGGCTGCCTTTGCAAAGTCCCAAAGTGTGTCCCGGGGAAAGCAGGGCCGTGAGTGCCGGTGGGCTCCCCACGGGGCGTGCGGGAGGGTGGAGTGCAAACCACCTGCATGGCGTCCCTGTGCATCCTCTGGAGGAGGAGGGCGTACCGCCCTCTCTGTATTAACTCACTGTGAGTCCCCTTTGCACAGATCCGACTGTCTTCCAGCAAAATGACCTGGTCGCAGACCTGTAAATGCTGAAGAGGCAGACGAGTGAGGTCTGCAGTGAGCCCGGGATGATGTTCAACTTCACGTTCCAAAGGAACCGGTGAATTCCAATCCGGATACAATGTTACTCTATCCCCTGGTTGGCCAGAACGAAACGCTGGTGACTGGAAGTAAAGGGAACACTCAGAACATGTTGGGGCAGGAGCTTGTAAGTTAGAACTCCTCTGGAAAACAATTTGACAACATACAGTAGAACGAAAGATTTCTGAAGAATTACGAACCCACAATTCAACCCTTAAAACTGTCCTAAAAAAAACTCTCAAACGAGCATCAACACATGTCACTGATACATAGGCTGACGCATTTTTTTGTAAAAGTGAAAAATGGGGGGAACCCATAAATGTTCATCCTGGAGAATAAATTCGGGTATCTTCAGGAATTGGGACATCACACCTGTGAGAAGGAAAGCTACATCAACGTGGACAATCTCAAAAACAGAAGGTTGCATGAAAAGGCAAATTAACCCAGGAAGTAAAACCTCAGTTACGTACAGATGGACCATGTGGGAAAGGAGACGTCACCGTGTCTGAAGATGCTGTGCCGTGAAGGTGTGCAGACACGCCGGGCGCCTGCACCAACAGCGAGGAGGAGGACGGGAGCGCCACCGGAGGGCCACGTTGGATTGGGTCGTCTGGGCGCTAGACATATGGGTGTTCATTCGATTGCTTTCTAAGCCTTTTTAATGTCTTAGATATTTTATACCAGAAGAATAGCAAGGCCAAGATATAAGAAGAGGGAGAGCCCTGGCTAGTTTGGCTCAGCAGTTAGAGCGTCGGCCCATGAACCAGAGACCGGGGTTTGGTTCCCGCTAAGGGCACATACCTCGGGTGCAGTTTGTCCCCGGCCCTGGTTGGGGTCGTGTGAGTGGCAACGACTCGATGTGTCTCTCTCACATCAATGCTTCTCTCTCTCTTCCTCCCTCTCTCCCTCTTGCTCTATCTGAAGATAAATGCAAAAATGTCCTTGGGTGAGGATAAAAAATAAAAATAAAATAAGTAAAAAAGAAGAGGGAGAAATAACAATAATATCTTGAGGCCCAAACCAAACACGACAGTATGTAGGGGGACAGACGGGTGAGAGGCGGCCCCGGGCTCAGCCACTGCCCTCGATCGAACGCAGAATGGGAGACGTGGGGAATCCTTCTCTGAGGGACGTTGTTCCTTTTTTCTTCTAAAGTACTGGCCCAGCCCTAACATTCGGAAGACAAGGAGGCCCTAAAATCTGGTTTTGACCAGCCTGTCTTGTTCACATGAGCGCAGAGGAAGCCTAAGTTCTTCACGATACTCTCCAAATGCTGGGGTCTGGTCTGAGCTGAAGGGGCAGCTGCTCTGGGTTGTCATGAAGTCGCACCTGCAGCCGGTGGGTCACCAGGACCACCGTCTTCCCCCTGAGCGTCTTCTGAATGCACTCCTCGAAGATGTGCTTCCCCACGTGGGTGTCCACGGCCGACAGGGGGTCGTCCAGCAGGTAGACCTCGTGGTCCGAGTAGACGGCGCGCGCCAGGCTGATCCTCTGCTTCTGTCCCCCGGAGAGGTTGAGGCCCCACTCCCCAATCTGCGGACAGGCAGCCAAAGGCACTGTATCTAGAGGGTGAGCATAGCCAGGTGTGCTCAGACCAGCCAGGTGGTCAGAGGGGGCAGACAGAACCGCCTCGGGGCACACTCCTAGACACCTAATGATTGGGCATTTCTGGCATTTGAAAAATAGTTCTCACCCAGGCCATTTGGGCTGAGCAGTTAGACTGAAGGTTCGAGGGTTTGATTCCCTGGTCACTGGCATGTATCTGGGTTGCAGGTTCGATTCCCCACCCCAGTCGGAGTGGTGTGGGAAGCAACCAATTGATGTGTCTCTCTCACATGGATGTTTCTGTCTCTCTCCTTCTTCCCTTCCACTCTATCTTAAAATCAATGGGAAAAGATCTTCAGATGAGGATTAACAAATAAAAAAAATTTTTAATAGTTCTAAAAATTTGCATAGGAGAAAGTGTCCTTCAGGGGATAACTGGATAAAGAAGACACGGTACATACACACAGTGGAATACTACTCGGCCAGAAGCAAGGATGAAAAGCTGCCATTTGTGACAACATGGATGGATCCTGAGGATATCACGCTGAGTCACGTAGGTCACATAGAAACGGGCAAGAACCATGTGATTTCACTCATAGGTGGGACATTAAACAGAAAGCAACAAACGAACACACAAAACGCTCAGACACGTTCATTGACACAGACAACAGCATGGTGGGTCTCAGAGGAAGAAAGGGGTGGGGTGTCTGAGGCTCACCTGAAACAATGCACTCAAGTGGCTGGACTAGCACTTTGCAGATGGTAAGTGGACACCAGACTGCCATATCATTCTAGTGAAATCAAGACAACTCTGCATTTATCTCACCAGAGTGCTGTGTGGATCAAAGGTGGCTGCAGGTGCGCAGGATGGTGAATTGTGCAGAAATGCAGTAGCCAGAACTCAGATTGCCACTGTGGAGCTCTGGCTGGTGTTCCCACTGGAGAAGGGAGCAATGGCCAGCGAGGGGCAGGGGGATGGGTGGGGGGAAGGGGGCTCATGGGAGGTTTCTTATCTTCTCAACGTCCTTCCCTTGTTGGAGAGGTTCTCAGGCAGGGCTCGGCTGTGCTGGGCAGAAGATGAGTTCCCGCCTCCATTTACCCGGCGAGGCAGCCTGGGGTCCCAGAGCATCACACAGAGCTGGAGCAGGCTCACCTCCGTCATGTCTCCACAGGGCAGAATCTCCAGGTCCCGGATCAGGGAGCAGCAATGCAGCACTTGGAGGTACCTGCGGAGTCAAAGGGACAGGTGGCCGCAGGCCCTGCGCCTGCCCACGCTTGGAAGGGAGAGGTCCCGCACTCCGCGCTAAGACATTTGGATTGATCCTGTTTAATGGCAATCCACCGGAGGCTCTTTCATGTCCTTCCTTCTCTCTCTGCTCTTACTCTAACACAGGTGCTTGTGAATGTTTGAACAGAACGAAAGGAAGAGGATACGAGAAGCAAGTCTCTTGCGTCTTTGGCCCTCAGCGGCTTTTCTCAGGAGAAGCCACCATCGCGGTTTCTTATGTGTTTATTCAGAAAGGCTCGGCTCCTGGGCGGCCGTGAGCAGCACACCCAGGCGTGTGCTGCGTTATCGGCACCAGTGTTCTTACCCGGCTGCACCGCGGATTATTGAACCACGGGCCCCGCGCTGCACACTTGGGTCCGTCTAGTCTTTTTCAACTGTGAACATGTGCAGTGTGGACATGCTTGCACATGGGTTGTGTTCTGGGTGAAATTCCCCATGCATGACGTGTGCAGCGATGCCAAGCGTGTCTGTTTGGGACATTCGCTTCGAAAGGGCCCTGGGCCGTACCAGCGCACGGGAAGGGCAGCAGTCGAACAAGGGCCGGGTGTGAGGGTGGCCCTGGAGTGTGCACAGGGAGGAGCAGAGCAGAGAGGACGGACACAGCGCTAAGGACAGGACCAGGGGACAGTCCCAGCCGGAAACCACAGAGCAGAACTGGCCGTGCAGACGGAGAGAAGACTACCTCGGGCACTAGGAGACAGCTGTCCAATGACGAGGAAGCTACCGGAGGCGGGGCGCTCGGCCTCGGGGTGCACAGCTCCAGAATGCCATTAAACTGAATTGGGCAATTTGGGTTGTGCAAGCAGGGTGCTCAGAGTTGGTACTGGACCTGACATTGAGGAGCCCACAGGCCACCGGGCTGGAGCTGGTCGGTGTGAACACCTACACCCTCGGGGCTGTTACTGGGGTGGGGGGCAGATGGCAAAGTCGAGCTGAGAGTCATTTCAGGGGAGCCCACCGGAGCTGGGAGCCCGGCTGGCTGCAGTGTCCGGCAAGTTCTCCCAAACCCTCCGGCACAGACTTCCCTCGGGCTGTCCTGGCAATGTGCGGAGCAGGTCACCGGCACCAGGACGGAGGGGCCCCAGGCCAGGAATCCAGCCAACTCTTCCACACTGACCACATGATCACCTAGTGACTCACCTCTGACCGAGAGGTCAGAACAGATTCACGGGAACAAAGTGTTAAGCTAACCTTTGGGGGGGGGCCCGTATAGCAAAGCAGTTAAGTGAAATTTCCGAAGGCGACTGGGTTCAGTCCCAGTGATATCAGATCCCACCAGCTGTGTGACTTCGGGCAAATGATTGAACCTCCTTGGCCTCAACTCACTGGCCTAGAACACGGATATGGTAATGAGCTTTCTGGGGGGGGGGGGGCTCTGTGGGCCTGTAAGGGGACACACAGCAAGTGTCAGCAATTCTCAAATTACCACTCCAAGGTGGGGTTCCCTCCCCAAACCAGCCATACTCCTGCCCCTCCCGGCCCCCCAGAGGCTTACCGGGCCTGGTCGTACTGGTTTCCCTTGAGGATGTTGTCTCTGATGCTGCCCATGAGGATCCAGGCCTGCTGGGCACACAGGTCAGGCTTCCGTGCACCCCCACCGAGCCCTCCAGCAGGTGCATCTGCGGGGCAGGGAGTCCAGCCTCAGGACGGGCAGCCAGGGGACACACCAGGGCCCCCCTGCCCTCCGGACCCAAGGGCCCACCTATGTACAAGGACTCGGAGTAACATGGGACCTGCCAGGCCCACCAGGGAGTGAGGGCACAGTCCCGCGAACCGGAGCAAAGCCAGACCCGCTCCCACAGGGACTGAGCAAGTTTTGCACTGAAGACACCCCCTGCTTTTCCCCTCTCATTCCCCAGCCCCTTTCCCTGGACAGAAAGCCCCCAGCCATCTCGGACCCTCCCTGGATACCCCAGAACTTCTACTAAAGTGACGCGGGCATCGTGGTTCCAGGGGACGGTCCTTGTGTTTGGAACATCGCGACGAAGTAGTTAGTAGGGAAGTGTCACCGTGTTCGTGATTTAAAATAGTTCCACAAAAAGTGTTTCTACAGCCCTGGCCGGTTTGGCTCAGGGGTTAGAGCCTCAGCCTGTGGACCAGAGAGTCCCAGGTTCGGTTCCTGCTAAGGGCACGTACCTCGGTTGCAGTTTGTCCCTGGCTCCGGTTGGGGTCGTGTGGGTGGCAACCACTCGATGTGTCTCTCACGTCGATGTTTCTCTCCCTCTCTCTCTCTCCCCTTCCTGCTCTATCTGAAGATAAATGCAAACATGTCCTCGGGTGAGGATAAAAAAAGTGTTTCTACATAGATGGGTGAGTGCCAGCACCCGGTGAACCTGGGCACCGGGACACTGTCTCTACCACCATGTCTTCCAGCTTCTCTGGATGATACATTTAAAGACACACATTAATAAAGTAAAGAGCACAGCCGTCACCCCAGCCCAGGACCGCATCATCCTGTGTTCCTTTCTCCTTTGTATCTTGGGCTTCCTGCTTCTGATTTGGGATCAGGTTTCATGAAGAACAAATTTCTGTGACACCTTCCTCTGTTCCTTTACTGTCAGGAAGCTGGCTGGCTCCCTTGCAGAGGGAACAGACAAGCCAGTGGCCACGCAGGAAGGTGGCCTTGAACGGAAGCCACCAGGAAACGCTGCTGTGTTGGGAAGCGAAGTTCCGACCACGTCGGGCAGACCTGGCCTTCAACCCCGGCTCCACTCTTCCCCTTTGTGACATCGGCCACCCCCTCAGTGCACCATCACTGTTTGCGATGTATCAAAACTGGTCTGGCTTAGCCCCCTTGAGGAAGACAGTGATGGTGCCGCTGACGGGGAGCTCGAGCTTGGGAGGTCTGGTCTGCCTGGGGGGCCGTGCATGGTCACCGCCCACTCACCTCCCCCAGGATGGCAGACAACAGGCTGCTCTCCGCTCCCCGTGCTGCCACAGACCCCTAAGAGGGTCCCCTGCAAAGCCAAGGAGGACAGACAGGTGTTGGGAAAGCACGAGCCTTCACCTGTCCAGGGTGGGTCTGTTGTTTGAACACAAAGTGACAAATGGAAGATGAAACAACCACACGCACACCCCACAGCCCCTCAGACAAACAAGGAGATCTGGGGTCGGTTGATAGCGTGGGCTGGGCAGCCTTGAAGGAAGGCAGTCGAGTGGTGATGGCAGGGAGGAAGCCCACGTTCCAGACCCGCCTGCATTCACTCTGATTCTGGGCAAGGCTCTGAGCCGCTCTGCACCTTAGTTTCTTCATCTGTAAAATGGGGACAACAAAGCCAGCTTCACAGCATTCATGCATTCATGCATTCATTCATGCACGCATTCGTCCATCAAACAGTCATTTGAGTTTCTTCTGTGTACCAAGTAATGAAAATAATTCTCACTGCGCTTACATTCTAGTAGGGAGAGAAAACCGTGCAGGATATAAGCAAACAAACAAATAATATCAGGTGGTGACAAGTGATATAAGTCCAATGAAATTGGCTACTATTTCAGAAAGTTGGGGGTTACAACAATGTTAGATGGATTGGCTAAGCAAGGCTTCCTAGAGCAGGTGTCAGTGAAGCTGAGATCTGAATGACAGAGGAGCCAGGGACAGGGAGATCTGGCGGAGGTTCCAGGCTATGGGCATAGCAGGTGCAAAGGTCCTGAGACAGGAAGAAGATCGGTTGCCAAACAGCAGGGCTGGGGAGAGGGCTGGTTGGGATAGGTGGTGTGGAGGGAATACATGGGAGAAGAGGGCAGAGAGGTGGGCAGGGTGCTGGGGGAACCTGGGCTCCCCCCCGAGAGTGGCGTCACTGAAGGGTTCCAGCTGGAGAGCGGCTTGAACTGGCTTACGGTTTAGAAAGCTCCCTTTTCACTGTGTGTAGTGCATTGTAAAGGGCAGAGTGGAAGCAGAGAGGCTGGTATGGAGGGTCTCAGAGGAGCAGAAAATGGCACAGTGGTGGCTGGGTGGAGGCGGTGGGGGACGCCCCTGTGGAAGGTGGCTGGGCTCAGGAGCAAATGGTCCTTGCTGATGGGTCAGCCTGCTGGGACGAGGCAGAACTCAGCTCTGACTTCCAGGTCCTCCACCGCTGGAAGGGCGGCGAGGCGGCTCCTGAGACAGGGAGGACTTGGAGAAGGGGTCTCTTCTTGTTAAAATGTGTGGTCATCATTGAAGTGGAGATACTAAACAAATAGCCAGTTGAATGTGGAACTCCGAAGACACTTCGAGGCTAGAGAAAACAGCGTAGAGGTGGGCTTGAAAGCCAAGGGGCGGCAGGCGACCGCCCAGCAGGAAGGTGTAACTGATAACGGATATTAGAGAGTAACACCTCTGACTATCAGATGTTAGTATTGCTGACTTAAGCATGAATATCTACTTTATATAGACATCTCTATCCTTAGACACAGATCAGCATTCACATGCTGTATCCATATCATCATTAGATACCTGCTGTCTATTACAAAACATTAACAGATGATAGGGAAGCGCAGGGCAGCAGGGGGATTGGGAGGGAAGCGCATCCTTGCAAATATTACTCAGAGAAACGGGCAGGTAAGGTGAGTTCACAGATAACCACATTAAAACACTGTGCTAGTGCCTGGCACATACCGGGAACTTAATAAATGTGTCACCTCCTTCGCCAGGTTCTCTCTGAGGACCTGCACACAGATAGCATACTATTCTGGGTCTTGCCCTTACAAAACAATTTCAGGTGGTCGACTGATTCACACTGAAGAATGAAAGGGTTTCTGTATTTGTCCTCCTGGTCTCAGGAGGAACCCAGCCTCTGGCAGCTGTCCACCTGCAGGGGGGGTGGGGGGGCGGGGGGCTACCTTTGACACTGCCAGGTTTATCTTGCACAACTCTGGGGCGAGGCTGTCCCCTTTGTCCTCTGACCCGAGGGCACCCAGAGGTGGCTGAGCCCCACTCGTCCCCTCGGGAGCACGTCCATTCCTCTCCAGTTCCGGCGCTCGGTGGACAGCCCCGGGGCAGGTCTTTCTCCAGGACAAGGTGGCCCTGCCAGAACCAGCACTTTGCTGGGGTCTTTCAAAGCCTGGACATAGGAAACGGGGCTCTCCTGGAGGAAAAATCTCTGTACAGACAAAAACAAAGGGAGAAAGAAGGAATTCAGATCTTTGGTCCAGTAGGACGGTGTCCCCGTTTTGCTGGCCGGCCCCTCGCACTGGTTTACGAACTCATAAACAGTGAAAGTGAGAAGAACCACCATCAGTTAAGATTCTAAATCAAGGTTTTCCAATTGTCAGACCACTGGGTCACTCTTCCACGTCTGAGCACGGCCTGCCCTGTTCTTTACTTGCTACTTTATTGTACATCGACCAACAGCCTCGCCTGCGTCAGCCTCATCTAAGTGACAACAGCTGTTGAATCATAGTCTCCATGTGTAGTTTTTCTTTTCTTTTTAAAAATGTAGTGTCTTTATTAATTTTAGAGAAAGAGAGGAAGGGAGAGAGAGAGAGAAACATCGATGAGAGAGAACATCGACTGGCTTCCTCCTGCACGCCCCCCGCTGGGGATCGGGCCCACAACCTGGGCATGTGCCCGGACCGGGAATCAAACCTGAAACCTCTTGGTGCAGGGTCGACGCTCAACCACTGAGCCACACCAGCCGGGCTAGTTTTTCTCATTAAATTTTATTTATAACAACTAAAAGTAAAAAGGTCGGCCCGTGGGCCACACTGCGAGAGATGCTGTTCGGGTTCACATATTTCAAAGTGTGACCACTGACTAGTCACCTCCCTCTGCATCTCCTCTCCCTGCCTGTAAAATACAAGAGTTAGACTATGTGCACTCAAGCATTTAAAACAAGGAGGGTGGGAGCAGGCTCTCGCCGAAGTCGAATTGAACTCGCCGTCTCTGGCTGCAGACACGCGTAAGAGACCTAGACGGACGCTCGGCACCGTCCGGACAGGATTTTAGGTGGTTTAGGGTCATTCCTGCTCTCTGTACCTTTTCCTACTGTCTCAACCTTTGACAACGAGTACGTAGAATTTTATAAAAAAACAAAACCAAAGCAGAAAGCTATTTTCAAAAGAAAAAAGAGGAAGTCTGTTTTTCCCCTTTCTTCAAATTTTTTAATCGATTTTTTAGAGAGAGAAGAAGGGAGAGGGAGAGATAGAAACATCGATGTGAGAGAGAAACATCGATCAGCTGCCTCCTGCACGCCCCCTACTGGGGACTGAATCTGCAACCTGGGCGTGTGCCCTGACGGGGAATCGAACTGGGACCTCTCAGTCCATGGGACGACACTCAACCCACTGAGCCACACCGGCCGGGCTGTTTTTAACTTTTTAAAAATTGGACCTCAGGCCTATTTCACTGGATTAATAACAGCATCCTGTCCAGGGACAGCATCCCCAGCGGGCACGACACGGCCCCTTCACTTCGGTTGCTACTGGGCACTGCCTTGTTGAGTTATTTTTCATTGTCGGATGAGCATCCATGAGCCGGCTGCTGACTCCAAGAGCCATAACTGTGGCCCTGTGGGTCCTTCCCCATCTCACCCCCCGCTTGGCATAAACGGGGTGCTCCCAGCCCTCCCAGCTCTACCTCCCCCTGTCACCACCATCCCCACAGTCGGGAACGCCCATGCCGAGGCACGCAGCCGTCCTGACCCCTTACCTTGAACCTCTCGGTCGCAGGCTTGGACTTGGCGAGGCCTTTCAGGGCGAAGGGTACGAGGAACAGTGGCATCTGCGTGGTGTTCCAGACGGCCATGCTGCTGAAGGCCTGGACAAGGGGGCAGGCGGTGTGAGGGTCCAAGCCCTGCCCTGCTCCCTCCACCCCCGCGGCCCCGTCCCTGAGCCTCCGGCCACAGCGCCGGACCACGCAGCCTCACACAGGCGGGCCCATCGTGTGGCTGTGGCTAAGCTGGTACTGGGGACACTGGAAATATTAGTGAAAAAGAGCAGTTGTTAGTCTGTAAGTCCAAAGGCCTGGTCCCTCCTGTAGCTTAGCCCCTGGGGCGTCCCCTACATGGGCAGGCCAGCCCTCATCACGCGCTCCGTTTCCCCGTGGGCACAGTGCCCCGAATCATCAGTCTGGTGCAGGAAGGGTGTTCAGGAAGCACCGAAAAAATAGAGTCGGGATCGCGTTGTGCACTATCAACATGGCTTCGTGCTATTCTCTGCTGATATCCTCCTCCTCCTTCTTTGCCTTAGATGTGCTTTTCCTCTTCCATTATCCAAAACCTCCCCACATCAGCCCGACCCAGGTCTCACCCTCCCCAAGGGGACTTCGCCATCTACAGCAAACCACCTCGGGCTTTCGGGACCCCAGAAGGTGAGCCCCTGCAGGCACCCTGGGGCCCTAGCACTCCACCCTCCTCTTTTTCCAGTTTAATCTAAAGATAAACTCCAGCCTGGCCGGTGTGGCTCAGTGGTTGCGCGTCGACCCTGCACCAAGAGGTCCGATTTGATTCCCGGTCAGGGTACATGCCCAGGTTGTGGCCCGATCCCCAGCAGGGGGCGTGCAGGAGGCGGCCATCGATGTTCTCTCTCATCGATGTTTCTATCTCCATCTCCCTCTCCCTCTCCCTCTTCTCTCTCTGTAATATCAATAAGGAAAAATAAATAAGTAAATAAAGAGAAACTCCAATGGGGCAGGAATGCTTTGGTTCAATCCGACAACAGTGTGAATACTGTGTGACCCCCAAGCCCCATTGCAAGTTTTCCTACATGGGCCCCACTTCTACCCTCAAACGTCCTACAAGGGCCGCTCAGGTGCACGCTGGGCCCAGGAGAGGAGGCCGCTGTCCGGGTGCAGGCGAGCCTTTGCCGCAGTCTCCCAAAGAATCCCCCTCTTGCTTGGGGGGCCGTCTCCGGCCTTCCCAGCTCTATTCCAACCCCGCCAACATCAGCCCGGCCCTACTCCCCCCAAAGAGCTGGATCCCTAACCCTAGTCAGCTGCTCTGTCCCAGGGACAGGGTCAGACCAACAAGGAAAAGACAGAAGAAACTATACCTTTTAATTAAAAACAATTTTTTTTCTTTATTGATTTTTGAGAGCAAGGAAGGGAGAGGGAGAGGGAGAGAGAAACAGAAACATCACTGAAAGAGAAAATCGATTGGCCGCCTCCTGCACGCCCCCCACTGGGGATCAGGCCCACAACCTGGGCATGTGCCCTGACCGGAATCGAACCAGCGACCTCTGGGCTCATGGGTCTACACTTAAGCACTGAGCCACACCGGCCAGACTGTACCTTTTCATTTTAAAGTGTATTTCCAGGGCTCTATTTTGGCAACAGAGAAACTCATCAGTTTAGGATTCCAAACCTCAAGGTGTACATTCAGCTCATCGGGGTGTGAACTATACATTGCACCCCTCTGCACCCCCAGATGACTGCCATCCCTCCCTCCCACCGCCGCTACCCAAGAGACGGCAGTTTCTCCCAGGGGCTGAGATGGAAGAAAGCCCCAGCGCCCCGAGAGCCTGGAAAATCGAAATCAATTTGTATTATGTATCAGCAAAACCCTCAGATCTTTGGGGGGCACAAGCGGGGGAAGGACACCTGAGAAAACTTCCGATCCATGTGGGCGGGGAAACAAAGTCCCCCGGACACTTACGGACAAAACTGTGAGTTTCAGCCGCAAGCCAATGCGGACAAGGAGCATCATGACAATGGCTGTGGGCGGGGCTACGGACAAGAAGAGCGTGCTCAAGCTCTGGATGAACCCGTCTTCTCCATCAGCCTCCTTTCCTTCCTTCTGAGAGCTGGGAAGTAAACGGGCAATGCCCCGAAGTCAGCCAAGAACAGCCTGCAGAGGGCCAAGGACATCCCTGAAGGCCAGCAGTGTGCCCCTCCCCCTTCCCGCCCCCCGTGATGTCCGCAGGCTCCGAGCAGAAAGCTCGCTTTTCCGTACCTTTAATTATTTTGCAAATGGTTTCTCCCACATGTACATTTTAATCAGCTTGGCACAGGTGACAACTTCACTGGTCACGCGGATGCGCTGGTCCCTGACCTCAGAGGCATCCTTGTGGCTCTTCACAACCTTGCTGGTCAGGAGGACCTGCAGTCCAGGTGCGGCAAGAGCTTCTTTTGAGAGGGCAGTGAGGATTCCCAGGGGTTTAACTGTGCACGGTTCGAATCCCTGTGGCTAAGCCCACTGAAGGCTTTCCAAAGGGAGCCGCCCCAGGCCCCCGTGGTTTAGGGCACCTGCTTCTCAAATCCTGGGGCGTCTTTCTCTCCGGGGTGCCAAGCCAGGCTGTGGCTAATTCAACAGAATGTGGACCCGTCTGCCTCTGGGGATCCGGACCCTCTAACAACAACGGCCACCATTCTTGAGCACTGAGGGGAAAACACGCGGTGTCCGAGGTTCAGAGTGCGGGTCACTTGCAGTTTAGCCCGATTTGATTTCCCCTGAAATGCAAGAGTGTCTCCCTCCCCGCTCACCGTGCTCACCGAACGCCACATGCTGTCCGTGCTGTTATCACATCAGCACGCTCTGGGCAGAAGGGGAGGGACACGGACCTCAGAGGCGATCGATCTACTGAGGACAGTGTGAAGTAGACAGTCCCTGGGACAAAGCTACGAGGGGACCTCGCACGGCAGGTTCACCGCTAATTCACGAGGCCAGTGTCGTGGCCAGAGAACCGTCTGCGGCAGGAACGGAAGCCGAAGCTTCCCCACAGAGGGATAGACAGTCAGCAGGGGTCAATGCTTCCGCCAGGAGCACCCCGACGACAGAGCCCTGGGAATCCTGGGGAATGGCCAGCATTGCCGTTAGCACCAGGACCAGGAGGCAGCCAACAATGGCGATGAACACAGTGGATCCCAGCTCGAGGTAAGTGGTGATGGAGCAGAACGTCAGCGACAAAAAGCTCGTGAAGAACAGGGGGCCACAGTACACCCCTTCAAACAGGTTGTTTGTGTCACTGGTGAAGAAACCGATGGCCTGCAAGACAGCAAGGCCCGGGCACAGGTGTCACCTTCCCAGTTACCCAGAAGGGCTACACCTCCCTGGAAGGATGCTTAATAAGCTGCCTGGGGTCACAGAACTAGTACAATGGTGAAGAATAACAGTAGCGATGATGATAATAAGTATCTGATGCTTGTTACCAGGTGAGTCTGGCAAAATCACGCCCATGGAGGCAACGGTTAATGTAGCAGACATTTTTGGAGCATCTGTCCTGTGTCACTCAGATGCTGGGCCTTCTGCGGAAGTGAGTGGGAATCGGGAATGCTTTGTGTCCTTGAAGGGGGCTTGGCTCAAAGGAGTGGGGCGGCCAGATTTGGGTTTGGTGGGGGGTGGGGGTAGAGGGTGGGTTTAGGGCTACTCTCATCAGGAGAGGGCATCAAATTGGGCCTGGAAGGACACAGGGGCGTTTCGAGGGGCAGGGGGTGGAGGAGGCGGACGTGCCTGGTTTGCCTGAGGACTGGCGGTTAGGCCCCGCCTGGCGGGAAGGGAAGAAGCCCACCTAGGGCTGGGGGAGGGCCCCTGGGAGGAGCCGAGGCTGGAAAGTGGCTGCCGCTGGATTCTGAAGGGAGTTGGCTTGAGGGTCAGGAGCCAAAGTAGTGCCACCCTTTCCAAAAACCCAGATGTCTCTCAATTGAAAAGTCATCCAGGCTCGCCCTGGCCGGTTTGCTCAGCAGTTAGAGCGTCGGCCCACAGACCAGTGAGTCACGGGTTTGATTCCAGCCAAGGGCACGAACCTTGGTTGCGGTTCGTCCCCAGCCCTGGTCGGGGTCATGCAGAAGGCAACCAGTCGATGTGTCCCTCTCAAATCGATGCTTCTCTCTCTCTCCCTTTCCCCCTTTCTCTCTCTCTCCCACTCTGTCTGAAGATAAATGGAAGAATATCCTCAGGTGAGGATTAAAAAAAAAAGTCATCCAGGCTCCTCCAGGCAACCGGCAAGCCATAGGAAAATGGGGAAATTGGAATTAAATATATAAGTTCCAACGTCCCCCAGGACTATGGGTCATAAATGGGTGTGTCGTCCTCCAGTCCCTGTGCTCATTCCGCTCAGGGGGGGCAGGGACTGACCCATCGCTCAGCATCCCCGGACGGCCCTGGGAGCCTCTTCTGAGATAAGAAGATGAACACCCAGAGAAGTGATCAGTGACTGCTTTCGCCTAGGACATTCCCCGGAGCTGGGAAGTCTTCCCATCCCCTCCTCCCCAGGCTGACCGACAGGCTGCCCTTCCCAGCGTGCTGCATCCGCAGGGCCTGCAGCAGGGCCGCCCCAGAGTGGACCTCGGAACTACTTGTGGAGCAAACAGAGAAATACCTTCTTTAAAATGTTTTTTCTTTATTGATTTTAGAGAGAGAGGAAGAGAGAGAGAGATGGAAACATCGATGAGAGAGAACATCGATTGGTCGCCTCCTGCACGCCCCCCACCGGGGATCAGGCCCACAACCTGGGCATGTGTGGCCTGACCAGGAATCAAACTGGTGACCTCTTGGTGCAGGGTCGATGCTCAGCCACTGAGCCACACCGGCCGGGCAAGATAGAGAAATACCTTCTAACCCTCTGAGTGCAAGTGGCCTCTCCCTGGCTCCTTGTTGACCTGCTTTATGACCCCAGAGGCCACTGTTGATGGTTATCAACACCCCCTCGGAATTATTTTCTTTCTCTTTCTCGCTCCTCTCCTGGCTCGCTGTTGTCCCTCCCATGGCCCCCGGACGGTGGCGTCCCAGGGCCAGGCACCGACCTCTCCCGTGGTGACCTGCGTCAGAGACTGAACTGCACGAGCTTCTCGAAGGCGACGGCGGAGGCGGCCCCTCGGAACTGGATGGCCGTGTGCAGGTTGACCAACCAGCACGAGTTCAGACTCAGAGTCTTCAGACACTCGGCGAGGAACAGGGCCACGCAGAGCCCCACCCCGTAGACGATGTTCTTGGGCTGCTCCAAGGAATGTTCCAGGATCTTGGGTATAATCAGCACCTGAAACAACAGCCAGGAGTTTGGATCATCCAGAACATCCAATTCTTTTTCAGGCCACGGACAGCCAGCTCGGCTGTGCACCAGGGGCTCCGGTCAGTGCGGGGCTCCGGCCAGGGCAGGGCTGAACGACTCACACTGACTCGGCACAGCCCTGGCTCAGGAAGGTCGCCTAGTCCAGTGGAGGGGGGCTTTGTCCTACTGACCCAGATCTGAGCCCAGCTCCGCCGCCTCCTAGCTGGCCCTGCCAGGACCCAGCACACACACACACACACACACACACACACACACACACACGGCAATCGGGAGTTAACTGACTAGTTACAAAGGTGTGGGCAGAATTTAGGAAATCCAGCAGGATGCCAGCGCACAGGGGAGCTGGTAACAGCAGGGAATTGCTGTCTCCTCAGACCTGGGGACAGAGGGCAGGGGGCGGTTCCTGGGACCCAGGAAAAGCGAGTCCTACAGAGAGGGCCCCTCACGGGAGTCTGGGCCCCTCCAGTGAAGGAGAAGGAGGTGGTCCGAGGAATCAATATTCTGCCCAGACTCCTCCTTCCATTCTCCCCTGGTCGGTCACATCACTTCCATTATCTCTGGGGGATTGTCCCTGCCCCGGGGCACACAGCCTAGGTTGGGTGGTCAGTCCATGGGTCCTGCCCTTTGCTGGCCAGCAGGGACCCCAGCTGGGCCAGTCCACTCGCTCTCTGCAATCGTATTGGGGCTGTGGAGCTGCAGGACCCGGAACAGGCAGAGCCAGTTCATCGCAACCACGGGACGTGGGAGACACTGTCAGTTCCTGTCCCTCCATCCCGGGGCCACTCAGCCATTTCTCAAAGCAGCCAGCACCTCCCAAGCTGGCCCTGTTCTAAGTGCTTCACATACTTGACTTGTTGAATGTCACCTACATGGCAGGCAAAGCATCCTCTCCATTTCGCACATGCGCATTTCCGTGGAGTCCACCACGGAGAGAACGATGGGGTTCCAGGATGAACGAAGGCACAGGGAAGGTAAACGCATTGCCCGGAGGCACCCGGCATTTACGCGGAAGGGCCAAGGTTCGGACCCGAGCGATGGCTGCAGAACTCACATTCTCATGATGAACTCTGCGGGCCCTCAGAGAGCTTCAACCTGGTTCCTGGCATGGACTTGAACGTGCCACTCGCGAAAGCCCGGGGGCCCCAGCATGGCACCCAGCCCGCCACTTGCTGGTCCCAGGACACTGGCGATGCAGAAGCAGCAGCCCAGATGCATGTAGAAAAGCACCCTTGTCCTCTGGAATCTCAGCATCACTCGGAACACTGAGGCCTTTTCCATCCCACACCTCCAGGCTTCTTCTTCCCAAAGGAGGCGGAGCCTTGGAAAGAGGTGAACAGCTAACTGAAGTCTGCACGCGGCACCTACGTGCCCCAGGTCTTACAGCGCAGGCGTCAGTACAGAAATGTGCAAACGGAACAAAGTGGAGGAGCATAGGGCACCTCCCCCGAGCACCCATCCCCCGGGGGAGAGCGCTCGGCATCTGACATGTTTGTTCAGCTCTCCTCCTCTCCACTTTTTTCTTTTTTTTCCTGTATTTCAAGCAAATCTGAGACATATCATTTTATCGCTCAATGCTTCGGTGTGTATCTCTCCCAGATAAGCCTTAAAAAAAAACTCACAGTAATCATAATAACAAGAGTTATTAATACTAATTCATAGTTATATATTAATAATGTAGTAATAGCCCTGGCCGGTTTGGCTCAGCAGTTGGACTGTCGGCCCTCGGACCAATGAGTCGAGGGTTTGATTCTGGTCAAGGGCATGTACCCTGGTTGTGGTTCGTCCCTGGCCCTGGTTGGGGTTGTGTGGGAGGCAACCAGTCAATGTGTCCCTCTCACATTGATGTTTCTCTCTCTCTCCCTTTCTCTCCCTCCCTCCCACTCTATCTGAACAAAAGTGGAAAAATATCCTTGGGTGAGAATTTTAAAATAATAATAATGATGTAGTAACAATAGTTTCTTACTGGTATTGAATACCCAGTCTGTATTCAAATATCTCTAATTATTTCAAAAATGGGTTCTTACAGTTAGCTTGCCTAAATTAAGATACAAACAAGGTCCATATGTTTTATTTATTTGCCTCTGATAGACCTCTTGAGTCTCATTGTCATCTGTAGCAGTTTCTCCTCTGCATTGTCTGCCATTCATTTGCTAGAGAAACTGAGTTACTTATCCTGTAGAATTTCCCACATTCTGCCTTTGACCAAGGTTTTTCTTTTTGTTTTTTCTTTATTGATTTTAGAGAGAGAAGAAGAGAGGAGAGAGAGATAGAAACATTGACAAGAGAGAACACTGACTGGCTGCCTCCTGCATGTCCCCCACTGGGGATCTGGCCCACAACCTGGGCATGTGCCCTGACCGGGAATCGAACCAGCGACCTCTTGGTGCAGGGTCCACGCTCAACCACTGAGCCACACCGGCTGGGCTTGACGGAGGTTTGAACCAGGTTCTGTTTGCTCGGTGCCGTCCATCCACGCCCTTGAGTTGTAAACCTCTGAGACCTGACTAGTGCATGCAGCACGTCACAGACTGCCCCCACCTGCTGAGGGCTCTTCTCGGGGAGGTCCTAGGGAACACACACGGAAAATGATGTTCTACACCTGGTGACTCTCAGGCAGTAGCTAGAGGTGGGAACCTGTAGTCACGTCTTCCTGATACAGGAAGTTCAATCACACAACCAGTTCGTGGAGACCCAAGGGTTAAGAGACACCGCTGCTAACTCCAAGTGGATGACCCATGACAGAGATCAATACCTGATCCAGAAGAAAAAGCAAAAGAGACTAGAAGGAATGATTTCTTCCTTTCTTGGTGTCCTGGGCCATTAAACAGATCCGATAAAAGATGCGAGTTTTTGCTCCAGAAAAAGTCTCTGGCCATACGGATCAAGTATTTATACCATTTCAGGAAGGAGATTCGTGAACCCCGGGTTAAGAACCTCCAGCCCTGGCCGGGGAGCTCAGTTGGTTAGGACGTCATCCTGATATGCCAAGACTTTGGGTTTGATTCCCTGTCAAGGGCACATACCTGGATTGCAGGTTCAATCCTAACCTTGGTCAGAGCACATGCGGGAGGCAACCAATCGATGTGTCTCTCTCACATCATTCTCTCTCTCTCTTTCTCTCTCTCTCTCTCTCCCCCACTTCTACTCTCTCTCTGAAGATCACTGGAAAAAATATTCTTGGGTGAGGATTAACCAAAAAAAAGAAGTGGAACAACAAATCGATGTTCCGCTCTCTCTCTCAAATAAAAAAAAATTAAGGCCAGCCGGTGTGGCTCAGTGAATTGAGCTTCAGGCTCATAGACTGAGAGCTCCCGGTTCGATACCCGGTCAGGGCACATGCCCTGCTTGTAGGCTCGATCCCCAGTAGAGGGCGTGCAGGAGGCAGCCGGTCAATGTTTCTCTCTCACATTGATGTTTGTATCTCTCTCTCAAAAAATCAATAAAAACATATTTTTTAAAAATTAAAATAAAATAAAAATATAGAGCCTCCAGCCTAGAGGGAAGCGTCTTGCTACAGAGAAAAAGCCCCCATTCCTTGCTGTCTGAGGCTGGACCCACCTACCTGCTCTTGAACATCACTGGGCACCATCCCCCCACGACATGGTCTTTAACCAACCTGGTGCTTTGCCCAACGCGACTGTACCTTTTGCAGTTTCGGCCTGAGGCGTGCTGTGCCGATGGCGGGGGGATGGTGTTCTCATCTAAACGTTTCTTTAGGCCCCTGATCATGAGTGGGCTGAGCCACGACATCACGAGGTAGGAGAACAGGCCGGCGTCATCCAGGGGGTGGCGGAAGGAACCCTAGAAGTCATAGGCAATGTGGTCACTGTTAGCACGTGGGCTCCAGAGGGTGAACACGAAGTCGAGGGCAAGATTTTGAGATGATGAACTGTAAATATGTAAAAACCACTGCGTGGTCATCCAGATGGACAACAAAGTGTGTGTTTCCATGACTGTCATTTGTGCTAGTGAAACATCAGAAACGTGGAAGACACCCGTGAACAGGGGAATGATTTTCAAAGGAAGAGGCGCGGTCTGTCCATTCAGTGGGGACAGCGCGGCAGTGCCCAAGGTGGCACTGACCTGCATTGACCTTCCCTGCCCCTCATCGTCCCCCCCAGACTCACTCTGCTCGGGGCAGAGGGGATCAGCATTCTCCAGCCGTCATGGTCCCCCGAAGGGGGGACACTGGCACTCCCTGGGGCCTCGGGCTTCCTTGCCGGCTGCCTCCAGGGGCCATCTTCAGGAGTGGACGTTTTCTTGGAAAGAAAAACAAAAAGAGCATCAGCTACAGACCTGATCAATTCCGTCCCGAGGGAGTGGAGACCAGCCGCCCAAGGAAGAGGGATCCGTCTATACCGGATACCGTACGTCCTCACTTACATGTGGAATCTTAAAAAAAATTAAAAAGGAGTCCGTGGACACAGAAAACAGATCGGTGGTTGCTGGATGCCTGGTGGGCAGGCGGGCAAATGGGTAAAGTCAAACGATAGCAACTTCCAGTTACAAAGTAAAGAAGTCCTGGGATGGAAGTCTCGGCATGGTGACTACAGTTAATAATACCGTGTGATATATTTGAAAGTTCCTGAGAGAGGAGATCTTAAAATTTCTCATCATAAGAAAAAAAAAAAGCATTACTATGTATGGTGATGGATGTTAACTAGACTTCACTGTGGTGATCGTTTCGCAACATGTACAAATAATGAATGTTAGGTTGTACACCTGAAACTAACATACTGTTATATGTCAACTGTATCTCCATATAAGCAAACGAACAAATAAATAAATGGAAGGCCACCAGGCAGAGAATGAGCACTGAGCCAGGAGTCAGGACAACCAGGTCCCGCCCTGGCTCTGCCCTGTGGTCACTAGGTGACTCTGGGCAGGTCAGTCCACTCCCTGGATTTCACCTGTCACCAACACCTTAGACAAGGAAACAGGGTGCTATGGTTAATCACCTAAAGAATGTGAGACCAAGTCACCCTCTGAGGGTCAACCTACTAAAAAGAAATCAGTAAATAAACAAGTAAATCCCCAAACATTACGTGTTACCCTTTTGATAAAGTGGGAAACAGCTAAAATAAAAAAGAGACGTATCATCTCTAGGAGTTCCTACAGAATAGATAATCTACCTCAAAAGCATAGCAAGGGATCGATGGGAAATGGTTCGGGATAGTGGGTCCTTCAGGTGGGGGTGGGGAGGAGCAGGGGAGACCAACAGCTGGATGTGATAATCAAGGTCCAAGCTGGCACGGGGATGGGTTTACTGGTGCTGAGCGCATCATTGTAAGTAAATACGTAGATAGGTCGGTAATAGATTATACATGCGCACAGCTGCAGGAACCACGAAGGTGGGTCATGACCGAGGATTATGGTTCATCTAATTATAGAAGCCCAAGGTCCACTGAAAAAAAAATCAAGGTTGGATAAATATGGGACATAATTCCTTGAGCTCATTTCTGATCACTGAGATTACCCTGCCAACTCAACTTCCTGGCGTTTTGATGCAAAGGAGATGTACTTACGTAGCCAGCTCCTGAAACCATGTCATCATGCACATCCAAGCCAAGATTCACAATGCCACCCGAAGACTCGGGGACCCAGTGTATCTTCCTCTTGGTCATTTTCAGTTGTTCTGCCAATTCTTTGTTCTCCAAAATCAGAGAGTCTGAAAAAGCAACAGGTAGAAGCAGATTAGACAGAGGACAAAACCCTCCAGGGAGCGTGGGGGCCGTGTGCCGGGCTGGGCCATTGTCCCGGCCCCTGCTCTTCCCTCTGCCTGGGATGGACTTTCTAAACCTCTCCTCAGGCCTCAGCCCGATACCACTTAGGGAAACCGTCTCCACAACCCCACCACCTTGGGCCAGGTCAGTCTCCTTTGTTATACCCAAGTCTGCCCATAAATCCACGCTTCTGCCCTGGCCAGTGTGGCTCCGTTGGTTGGAGCATCGTCCCGGGCACCAAAGGGTTTCAGGTTTGATTCCCGGTCAGGGCACATACCGGGAGGTAACCGATCCAAGTTTCTCTCTCACATTGATGTTTCTCTCCTCCTCTCTATCTGTCCCTCTCTCTCTCTCTCTCTAAAATAACTAAATAAATAACATCCTCGGGTGAGGATTACAAGAAAACCAAGCTGCTTCTCCTATCCCAGTTGGTAACTGTATGTTCATGCCAATCATCATTTGCTCAGAGTTCCTTTCCTGCACTCCCCAGAGGGCGGGACATGCCTGCTTGGCTCGTGGCGGAAGCTCTGGGGCCTGGGACAGGCCTAGGAGCGCAGACCAGGTGTTCGAGCGCAGACCAGGTGTTCAATAAACAAGTGACCAATGGGTGCGTGCATAAGGGAAAGTCACGCGGTTTTGCCATTTTCTGACTCTTGGTTTTCCAACTCAGGGCAGTGGATCTGGGCACAGCTTAGGCACCTTAAATAACCAAGGCATTTCCCACAACGCATTAACATGCCTTCTGCCCTTCTGCTGTGTGACTCACCCCCAGAGCAGCCAGCGCCAGGGGCAGAAGAAGGGTGGTAATTAGGAATATTTCTGAAGGAAGGGAAAGAGGCAGAGGATCACACAGCCCGCCGCTGGGGAATGGCCAGTGCTTCACAGGGGAACTCAGGAGAACTCAGGCTCGGTTTCATGCCCTGCGTCACCAACTTGAAATTCTTAATAATTTCCAACAAGGGGCCCCACAAGTTCATCGCTCCCCGGGTGGGTCCTGGTGCTGGGGTACAGCTTCGTCCTTCACATCTTGGATGCTGCTTCGAGACTTGCAAACGGCCTCTCGTTTTAGGAAATTATTCTCTCACGTCCTGTATCCCTCCCACCTCACTTTCTTTTAGCAAATCAGAGCCCAGTGTGGTGGACTCGGTTTCTGGAATTCTCCTACGGGCACAGGGTAGAGAGACTCCCAGGATGGACCGGTCATGAGCTAGACTTGCCGTGCGATGGTAAAAGTGAACCTTTCCGGGTTGATGGGAAAGAAAAAAGCAAGAAGGAGGTGTGTTAGGTAAGAGGGTGTCGCAAACTTCTTGTTGATGACTCTGGGAAGAGGCCAGGTTTCCAGCTGCCTGAACCAGCCTAGCTAATAGACACATTAAGGTAGAATGGGCAGGATTGCACAGAGGGCGGCCCTGGGGCAAAGACCGTGTTCACTGCCCTCGGTTTCTTCACTCTGCAAAGCTTCCCAGTGGGAGGAGCGGGGGTGGGGAGCAGGTGGAGTCAGCAAATTCTAGATCGCAAGTCATGCACCCTGGCACCCGGCTGTGTGTTGCTAACCTCTTGTTGCAACTGTGAGTTAAGCATGAACACTGTGGGACCTTTTGCTTCCTGCTAATGAGTACGAGCAGGATGAACCGTCAACGGTGGATGTTGGTAGGACCTTCGCTCATTTGCCAATGACCCGAGTAACTTTGCTGAACAGTTTTCCAATAATGGGAAGAATATGTCCCCATTTTTGGTGCTCTTCACAACGTCAGGGCTGCAGGCACACACATAGGTCCATGTCACCTTGTTAGTCACATTTCCTACATTGATTCCCTAGGCCTAGACAAGCAACAAAATAATAACACAAGCCATGATTTGCAGCTTTTGCTGATTTTCATGGTGAAGATATTCCCAGCGTGGCTGGTTGCAAGCTCCCAACAGGACCACTGAGCATGGCGTTTGGAAGAGAGGCGCAGTCAAACATCACAGTGTGGCTTGCCACCCTACCGATCCGACGTAAATAAATCACCTCCAAGTGCAAAATAAAGTAAAATCATTAGGCGGTGATAAACCTGGAGTAACCCTTGGTCTCTGATGTAGTATATTTAGTTGTAAGTGTATATAATTTAATTTTCACAATGTTTGTGTTTAACAACTGGGCTCTCAAAATCCCCGAGAGTTTGACGGTTGGTCTCATGAGCCAGTGTGAATAGACCCCAGCAGACTTCTGTTGCCTCCATTTGGGAAGAAGCGGTGTCTTTTTCTAAACCCTCCCATCAGGGACGGCTTTGTCCAATCCACTCCTAAGTGATCCACGGGCAAATGCGGGCTGCGCCTGGACGTCGCTGTCCTGGCTCCCCGGGGCGCAGACAGGAGCAGGAGGGATTAAAGTCTGGGCGAGCGCCTTGCCAGTGGGTGACCAGTGGACCACCCAGGCTGCAAAACAATGCAGCAGAGGCCAAGCAACCCTGGGAATACCACCCGGCCACCAGCAAGCCGCAAAGCATCCCTTGAAGGCCTGCTGCAGACCCTCTAATGACGGGAGGGCAGGCAGTGACCGGGTGGACAGAGGACATCATTTGGAAAAGGCGGGCAGTAGAGGACACTGTGCCCAGTGCCCTGACTCTTCCTCAGCCTGGTAACAATTGTGAGGCCGAGCCTTCCCGGAGCATCGCTTCGGGGAGCTATTTCAATGGCTGGGTTCAACACGGTCTGAAAGGAATAGTAAGCAAACTCGAACGCTTCCTTTCTCCCCGTGAAGCAGCAGGCAGGTTTTCAGGAGCAGGACCAGATTCTTCGAGAGCAAGCGGAGACCTTCGATTTCTCTCCCTCTCCGCTGTAGCGCGGTTTGCCGACCTGGTGGACTCGGACCCCCTCCGGGGAGATGCAGGGGGGGTGTCAACGGTGGGACTGTGCAGAACCGGGCCAGCAAACGAATACCAGGGGAAGTAAACCGAACGGAAGGGAAGGGAATGCAAACGTGCGCAGCGGCTGTGTTTGCAGAATGCCACCTGCTCATCCCAGCGCCAGGGCGCCAGCCCCACGTTGGCTCAGGCCGCCTCCCGTCCTCCGAGGCCGAGCCTCCAGCCTCGGCCGGCCAGGGACCCTGCAGCCCTTCCTGAGGCAGGCCTGGAGCTTCCCCGGCCGCCCGCCTTCGCCCGGGAGCGGCACGGCTGACGCTTGTTCACTCTGATCAGCGGCAAGGCTGTCCCCGCGGTTCAGGTGGGGACCAGGACATGACCGGGAACAGACCAGAAAGGAAGCATGCTTTCAGCCTGGTGTCCTCCCCGTCGCCCAGGGGCCGAAGTCATGATCGTAAACTCGGTTTGGGCATGGGCTGTTTGCATGTGGCGCAATGGCCTGTACAGGAGGGGCCCCGGAGCAAGGTAAACTGTGGCCAGTGTCCAAGGCTGGCGGTGCACCCGAGGACAGGGAAGGGGCCCAGGGCAGTGGGGCAGAGGCACCTGCCAGGCAGGTGGAAGAAGCTTGCGCTCGGCCCTTTCCCTTGCTGTGCCCCTCCCGTGCAGCCGTTCCCGCCCCGCTCACCTGCCGGCTCTCAGGCTCAGTTCCTTCTGCTGGGTCCGCCGGCTGCTGGAGGCCACCACTGGCCACTTGGTGACTGCTGAATGCAACATCGCAGTCTGCGGACCCTTCCCCTGTTCCAGAAACGGGGACACGCCTCCCCACCGTGGTCTCTGCCAAGAGCATTCTGCTGCCAGCTCCTTGCACAGCTGGCCCATTCTTGTCTTCAGGTCTCACTGAGCTCAAGCCCCACCTCCTCTGAGTGACCTTTCCAGAACTTCTTACCTAATGTTCTCCCTGCTCCATCAGCTGCTACATAGTTTCCCATTACATTTTCTTATCACTGTCTGAAACCACCATTTCTTTCTTTCTTTCTTTCTTTCTTTCTTTCTTTCTTTCTTTCTTTCTTTCTTTCTTTCTTTTTTTACACTTTTTTCAATTTTCATTCATTTATTTTTGTTACAGGTGTTTCTCCTTCCCCCCGAGACCCCCTCCTTCCCATCCTGCCCCACCCCAGCATTGTTGTTTATGTCCATTGGTTACACATCCGGCATATATGTTCTTTGGTTTATCGCATCTACCTCCCCTGCCCCCGCCATTTCCTTCTCCCTTGGCTTGTTTATTTTCTGCCAACCTCCCTAGAATGTAACCTCTTTGAAACCCAGGACCTGTCCGTCCTGTTCGTGAATGTATCCGTGAATCTAGGTTAGTGCCAGCACAGAGCTTGGTAAACGTCTGATGGCTAAATGACCGAAGCAGACACAGAGCCTGTTAAAGCAGGAGGGCCACATGGTCATCAAAGACCTCAAGCCTGGATGCTGGACATTCGTCTGTGTGGGCTGACGCATCACAGAGATGTGCAGTCAGGACCGAAAGAAAGTGTTCACCAAGCAACTGACTTAACCGTGGACCCGTTCCCACACCGCAACTCCTGCCGTGCAGTGTGAAATTCTCTTTTCAAAAAGAAATCCAGCCATTATGATGGGAATAAAACACTTATATGGTTTGTTGATGGTGGTAGGGGTATAAGTTAAAAGCATTAAACATAAGTGTTTAAAATATGTTTTTATTGATTTTTTAGAGAGAGAGAGGAAGGAGAGAGAGATAGAAACATCGAAGTGAGAGAGAAAGATCCACCAGCTGCCTCCTGAACACCCCCCACTGGAGATCGAGCTCACAACCCGGGCATGTGCCCTGACCGGGAATCGAACCAGGACTTCTCAGTTCAAGGGATGATGCTCAATCCACTGAGCCACACCGGCTGGGCAAACATAAGTGTTTAAAAAATACACTGCAAAATGCGTAAGATTGTTTTTTGAACTTCTCTATTAAAACACTGGGAGCTTCACCCTGGCCAGTCTGGCTCAGTGGTTAGAGTGTCAGCCCTCGGACTGAAAGGTCATGGGTTCAATTCTCAGTTAAGGGCACATACCTGAGTTGCAGGTTTGATCCCTGGCCCTGGTTGGGGTCGTGCAGGAGGCAACCAATCGATGTGTCTCTATCACATCGATGTTTCTCTCTCTCTCTCCCTCCCTCTCTTCCACTCTACCTAAAAAAATCAATGGAAAAATACCCTCAGGTGAGGATTAACAACAACAGAAAATATTGGGAGCCTCAACATATGAACCCCTTCCCCCTTCCTCCCCCCACGCCCTTGGAGAGGCCTTGAGGAAACGGTAAGCCCTTGTGGTCCTGGGCCATGCATATTTATCTCTGCACCACCCCCAGCATCTATCAAAGGGCAGGGAGCACACATACAGAGAAATGACCCAGCTTGCTGATTATATCCATCATCTTCAGCTACCCTTTAACTTCCCAGTCTAGGGGACATCCTCGGCCGCGGTTGTCCTTCACGTGTCATGTCCAGCCCAGCAGCATATCCTGCTGCAGCTACGTTCAAACATAGCTCAACTCCACAGCTTCTGGTCTGCGTCCCCATCACCTCTTTCCAGGGCAACGGCAACCACCGCCTCACTGATCCTTGCTTTTTATTTTAAACCCTTGCATTCCATTCTTCACAGAGCAGCCAAAACGATCTTTTGAAAACACAAGCCAGGCAAGGTTATTCTGCAACTTGAAACCTCCAATGCCTTGCATCAGGCTTAGTGTAAGACCCCCAACTCCTTACCAGGGCCTTCTAACCCTCTACAATCTGACCCCACTGAATCTCTCATCTCCTGGCTGCCTCTGAGCTCAGCAAATTCCAGGAGCAGGTTCAAACACCCTCAGTGCATTCCAGCCTCACATTCTTTGTAATTGTTGCTTCTTTCTGCCCCTGCCCCTGACCTTTGCCTTGCTGCCTCCTCAGAGTGCGAGGCTCCGTTCAAATGCAAGGCCTTCTCTGACCATCTGAAGGACGTACTGCTGTCCACAATTACCTTCCTTGCATATGGTTTTCCCTCCACTAGAATGGCAAGCTTCATAAAAGCAGGAACCTTGTCTGTCTTGTTCATTGATGTATTCCCCAGCATCTAAAATAATATCTAGAACGTAGTAGGTATTCAGTAGAGATCTGTTTAGCGAATGAATGATAGAAGGTGGGATTACATCAGAGAAAGAGCTTTACGTGGGTGTGTCTCCCACGGTACCTGGTACACCTGCCACGTACTCTGTCTTGTCTGTTGCACACACAGAGGCATACAATTCTATCTGCCCTGTGTCAGACTCAGACATGGGTGGGGCTGTCCCCCTAGCCAAGAGATGCTTGAGGGTAGGACCTTGCTTTATGTCACCAAGGATGATTGCCCTGGGAGCATTGCTGAGCTTCAGATTTGAGGGAATTTTCTCCTCTGTCATCCACAGTCAAACCCCAGGCAAAGGCCAGAGTGAAGGAAACAAATCTGAGATAATTCAAGCAATGTAACACATGATATGATCGGGTGATAACCTTGCAACATATATCCACGAGTCCATATTAACAGAAAGAAACAACTGAACAAGTGAATAAATGAGGGAGATGAGCACAGCAGAATTCCAATGAATAAATGTAGACTTAACTCGCTACAAAGTATCTATGGCTTGCAGAGAGAAAGACAGTCACTTACAGAAGAGACACCTGGCAGACAGCCCCTTCCAGTAATTAAAATAAAACCACCATAAATAAGATACCTCACCATTGTGTATGACTGAGAAGGCCACATCACTTCTGGGGTCTTCCTGCCAAAAATACGTATGATTGATCTAATTAGGAGAAAACCCAAATTGAGGAATATTGTATAAAATAACAGACCGAAACACTAAAAGTATCAATCTTTTAAAAGAAAAGGATGATTGCCCGGCCAGTGTGGCTCAGGGGTTGAGCGTCAACCCTGCACCAAGAGGTTGCTGGTTCTATTCCCGGTCAGGGCACATGCCCAGGTTGTCCGCCTGATTCCCAGTGGGGGGCGTGCAGGAGGCAGCCAGTTGATGTTCTCTCTCATTGGTCTCTCTCTCTCCCCCTCTCCCTTCCTCTTTCTAAAATCAATAAAGAAAAATATTTTTAAAAAAGAAAGAAAAGGATGATTGAGGAGACATCACGACTAAATGAAAAGTGGAATCCTGGACCAGAAAAAAGGGACATTAGCGAGAAAACTTGCAAAATTTAAGTCAGCTCTACAGGTTAGACAAACAGTAACGCCAATGTTACCATTGAACTTTGATTTTGTAAGATGATTAAAGGGGACGCTGACAAAGGTGTAAGGGACCTCTCTACTATATTCTTGCAACGCATTTGCACAGCTAAACTCAATTCGAATTAAAAATTAAAAACATCCCTTCTGAACACAGCAGGAGGGGGACACTGTGTGAGGGAGTCCCACGAAAAAGTTGAGGAGCAGGCAGGCCCAGAGAGGCGAGTCCCACGGGGTTTGTGCTCCTCTTTTCGCGTAATTACGGCGGCCGTCTCCCGGCGCGGCTCCGCCCGCGGGCAGCGCGAAGCGGCGGCGTTTGAGCCTCGGGGCGGACCGTAGCGCGGGGCCGGAAGTGCCGGCGAGCCGGCGGCTCTGAGCTCCGCGGACGGCGGCGCAGGTCGTGCAGGGTTGTGTGCGCGGCGCGACTGAGGTCCCCGGGCCCGAGCGGCCGCCGCCATGTCGTCGGTGAGCCCCATCCAGATCCCCAGCCGCCTGCCGCTGCTGCTCACGCACGAGGGCGTGCTGCTGCCCGGCTCCACCATGCGCACCAGCGTGGACTCGGCCCGCAACCTGCAGCTGGTGCGCAGCCGCCTGCTCAAGGGCACGTCGCTGCAGAGCACCATCCTGGGCGTCATCCCCAACACGCCCGACCCGGCCAGCGACGCGCAGGACCTGCCGCCGCTGCACAGGTAGCCGGGCCGGGGGACGTGGGGTGACCCTCCTGGCGCGGGACGTGGGGTGACCGCTGTCCCTCGACACCGGCCAGGGACGCTCTCGAAGCAGTGGGCCGCCACCAGGAGCCGTCCGTGCGCACGGTGTCGCCCGGACACCTGCCCGCCCCGGGCCTTAACTTCCCAGCCGCTCCTTTCCCTGCCGCCCTGCCCTTCCTTCCGTCCCTCGTGACCTCTGCCCAGTGACCCTCGCCGCTCCGCACGACCTCGCCTCTCCCTGCCCCGTCCTGCACCGCTCACGCCGTCCGTTAACTTCGGGGTGCCCTCCTGCCACCGCCCCGCCGCCGCGTCCCCGCACCCGCGGCTCCGCGCTCCTGCTCCAAGGCCCTTCCCGCGCACAGGTGCCCGTGTCTGCTGCGCTGGGACTTTGCTGCTTCTCCTCTCTGCTCCTTAACGTGGCTCAGGCCTGTGCTGGCCACGAGGTCGCCCCCCTGGCCCTGATGGCGGGACTTCGGGAGAGACTTAACCTGTGCCTCTCGTCTGTGCCACTTGTCTGTGACTTGGGAACTGACAGCGCCCGTCCCCTGGGTATGCTATGAAGAAGTGAAATAACGCGTGCGGGGCACGCTTGATGGGCAGGTGCGCCGCGCAGACTGGCCACTGGTCCAGAGTGAGGTCCTGGAGTGACCAGTAGCCCCCTTTACCGGGGACTCGCCGGGTGTTGGCACTGGAAGTCCTGGGTCCCAGACAGATCCCTCACCCGCAATGTGTCATAAGTGTGCAGTACTCACTGGACTTTGAAAGCTTAGTATGAAAAACCTTCTCTTGATTACTAAATGACTATTTGTTACCATAGATGAAATGTTGGAATGGTACTATTTTGGCTCTTTGTGGTTAAATAAAACATTAGCATTTTACCTGTTTCTTTGGACTTTACGGTGTTAGTACTAAGATTAGGTGTGTGGCTGGTGTTGTATTTCTGTTGGACTGTGCTGGTATGTGGCTCCCTCTCCGGAAAGATGGTTACTACCTCCAGACTCACCTCCCAGACCCCTCCCTCCTGCCCTTAACTCCTCCGGAGATGTCTTCAGCTTGGAGCCCCTTGTTCACCTGCAGGTCCTCTCTTAAAACTGGAGGTTCCTGATGCAGTGGATTTCGGGAGGGTTAGGAAAGCCTATTTTTATCCAAAACCTCATGTATACACATTTTTTAAAGGAGATACCATAGCTTTCTTCAAATTCTCAAAGGAAACTCTCCCCTCCCCTCCCGAATCAGAACAAACAAGCCCTAACAGCTCCTTTTCAGTCCACATTGTGAAAGCCTTCCTTTCCCAACATCTGGCTCCCTTCTGACCCGCTTTGGTTATTGTACCAGTGGGACTGTATACTTTTCAAGTTTCAGTAAACTCTGACACATTGTACTGCGTTCTGGTTCCCCTGCATGCGACCCCACTCCTTAAGGCTCTGTTTACTTCTCTTACAGTTTTTCGCTTTCTGTGCCCGGGCACTTAGTTGCCTGTTGAGTCAAGAGTGACCACGATTAGACTTTCTGGTTTCTTTCTGTTGTGCATATGCATGGTGATCGGCCATGGGCACACTGTGAGTTGCAGAAATAGATTAAGTCAGCCCTGGCCAGGTGGCTCAGTTGGTTGAAGCGTCGTCCCATACACCAAGGGGTTGCAGGTTTGATCCTCAGTTGGGGAACATGGCGGGGGTGGGGGGACGGACAGGGGAGGCAGCTGATCAATGTTTCTCTCTCTGTCTTCCTTCCTGTCTCTCTAAAATAAATTTTTTTAAATACCTTTGGGTGAGGTTTTTTTTTTTTTTTTTTATTCCTCACCCAAGGACATTTTTCCATTTTTGTTCGGATAGAATAAGAGGGAGAGAGAGGAAGTGAGAGAGAGAGAGAGAGAGAAACATCGACGTGAAAGGGACACATCGAGTGGCTGCCTCCCGCACAACCCCAACCAGGGCCAGGGACAAACTGCAACCGAGGTACGTGCCCTTGGCAGGAACCTAACCCCAGGCTCTGTGGACCGCGGGCCAACGGTCTAACCGCTGAGCCACATCAGCCAGGGCTGGGTGAGGATTTTTTTAAGAAGTAGATTTAGTCATATTATTTTAGGTTTAAGTGACCATTTATTGGTATTATTCTGGCCAGATTTTGGAGGGTTTTTAAGTTATTTTATGTAAATTTCTCTGGAATAACAATAACTGAATTCTAATCTTTCCTGCCCAGAAGCAGTCACTAATATTCAGATAGTACGTAATCTGATCCTTGACGTTCAGGTTGTTGCCTTTGTTTTACACGAATAGAATAGCCATGTTAAAATGTAATCGTTCAAGTTAGAAAACATACATTGAACAGAAACAAAGGAGAAAATGAACACATGGGACTACATCAAACTCAAAAGCTTCTGCACAGCAAAAGATACAATCATCAAAATGGAAAGGCATCCCACTGTATGGGAGAGCATAATTGCCAATGATATGTCAGATAAGGGGTTAATTTCCAATATATATAGTGTGCTCATACAACTTCACAAAAGGAAGACAAAGCACCCAATTAAAAAATGACCTGAGGACCTAAAGAGACACCTCTCCAAACAGGACATACAATGGCTAAGAGACATATGAAGAAATGCTCCACATCACCAATCATCAGAGAGATGCAAATTCAAACAACTATGAGGTATCACCTCACACCTGTCAGAATGGCCGCCATCAACAAATCATCAAACAACAAATTTTGGCGAGGGTGTGGAGAAAAGGGGACTCTAGTGCACCGCTGTGGGAATGCAGACTGGTGCAGCCACTATGGAAAACACTATGGTGTTACCTCCAAAAATTAAAAATTGAACTGCCATTTGACCCTAGTGATCCCCAGTGATTCTAGGAATATACCCTAAGAAGCTTGAAACACCAATCGGAAAGACTATATGTACCCCATGTTCGTAGCAGCATTATTTATAATAGTTAAGATCTGGAAACCCCAAATGTCCATCAGTAGACAAATGGATAAAAAAGCGGTGGTACATATACACAATGGAGTACTATGCAGCTGTAAGAAAGAAAGATCTCTTATCCTTTGAGACGACATGGAGAGACCTGGAGAGTATTATCCTAAGCGAAACAAGCCAAGCAGAGAAAGACAAATATCACATGATCTCACTTATTTGTGGAATATAATGAACATAATAGTCTGAGGAACAGGGTAGTCCCAGAGACGTGTAAGTGGGGTACAGACTGACAATCCCCTGAAGAGAGGGTGGTGGGGGAGAGATAAACCACAGAACTTATGTGCATGTGTGCATGAACAATGGACATGGACAACAAAGGTGGGGACAGGGTGGGGAGGGAGGGGAAGGGGAGAATTGGTGGGGGAACAGGGAGAAACATCTGTAACAAAAATAAATAAATTAAAAAAAAAAAAAGGCCCTGGCTGGTTTGGCTCAGTGGTTAGAGCGTCGGCCTGCGGTCCGGAGAGACCCAGGTTCGGTTCCCGCTAAGGGCACGTACCTCGGTTGCAGTTTGTCCCCAGCCCTGGTTGGGTCGTGTGGGTGGCAGCCACTCGATGTGTCACTTTCACGTCGATGTTTCTGTCTCTCTCCCTCTCACTCTATCTGAACAAAATATCGAAAAATGTCCTCGGGTGAGAATAAAAAATAAAAATAAAAAAAATCAATGTTTAAAAAAAAAAGGAAAATGTACATTGAAAATCCTCCTTAGAATTCCAGCGTTATAAGGACCCACCAAGCCATCTAGTTTTCCTGAAAGTGCTGTTTGCTCCCTGAAAAGTCTCTGGAAAGACTCCACTTCATCCCCTAGTATTAGGTTCCATTGCCTTTTTCTCTAAGGTGACCTTGAAACACTCTACTTTAAAAAATAAAAACTTTCAAGTTAGTAGCACAGAGATGTTGAGTTACGCATAACGTTTTTCTCTCCTTCGCCAGTTACCTGCTTTTCCAAAGAGTGTGGTCTCCAGAGGGAAGGCGAGGGGTGCTCTCTGCTCCTGCCGGTTCCTGTACACAGCCAGGCGCACTGCAGTCACTTTGACCCGGGATCCCTGCCGCAGCCGGGAGCAGGGCCAGTTGACTTCCTGAACCACCTCCTCTGCCGTTTTGAACATTGGCCCTTTTCTGCATATTAGTGCGCAAGCATGCCTGACGCTTGTGGGTTCTCCCCGGCCCCCGTGCCACCACAGGACACCCTGCTTAACTGGACTGTGTGTTCTGTGGCTCCTGAGCCCTCTCCTCTCTCAATGAAAATGTGAACGTTCAGCGCCGTCCGTATACCGTCCTTGCCTGCCCTTCGTGTGCAGCCTTCTTGCAGCCGCACACTTGTCGGGGACGAGGCTCCGTTCCTCTGCGCTGGCTTCTCAGCCCCTCTTCATGGTGTGGCTGCTGCTTCACCTCCGAGGCCCCAAGTTAGTTTCATTGGCATTTGTGAAAAAAACGGATGCTTTATGTATGGCAGGTGCAGTTCTGGAACCTGGATCAACTCCTGTCTCTATCCGTTAGAAGGGGGCTCCAGCGAACACACGGTAATAAGAAAGGAAGCAGCCTCATTGCTGACAGACCATTTCAGTCGTCTGGATAGAAGGTGGAACCAGCACCCACACTCCTTTAGGGCAGAGCCTCGTCCAGAGCAAGGCCCCGTCTTCAGTCTGAAGGCCGAGAGAGGAGGCTGGGAGGAAGGTTGGAGGCCGACCGAGGCAGGTTCCCAGGGTGAGGGAGAAGCCGTCGTGAAAGTGCCGGTGAGGCAGCAAGCCATTCAGAAGAGTTAGCTGAGGGAATTAATAAAGGTGCTACTGTGAACAGCAGATGTTCGGGTAGACAGAACTGCCTCTCTTGGAGGGAGATGCCAACTCAGTCTCATCATCAGAGAGACATCAGTGCCCGGCGTCAGCGCTTCCAGCGACAGCCCGACTCTCTAATGCCGTTGGTGACTTTAGGTTGAAGCCAGTGCTCATCTGCCATTGCAGAAATCCCAGGGCCCTTACGCTAAATCCGCTCTGCCTGTGCTCTGGATGGAGCACGAAGACGGGCCGGCCGGGCACCTGCTCACAGCATGGCGCACTGGAGAGGTGAAGCGCTGTGGAGACCGGTGAGTTCTTCCGAGTGTCACTGCTCATTGACGGTGCACCTCTCCACCCACGAGTCCTAGCAGATGGGCAGGATCGTGCCTGCTGGCACAGCATCGGTTCTGCAGCCCATGGGGCAAGGGGTGATTTCGACTTTTAAGTCTTGTTACTTAGAAAAACATTTTGTAGGTAGTGATTCCTGATGGATCTGGGCAGAATACACTGAAAACCTCTGGGTTCACCACCACCACTAAACAGTCCTGTTTAATGGGAAGAGGTCAAATGTCAACATGCAGAGGAATTTGGGAGAAGCTGGTTTGCACCCTCGTGGATGGCCTCGAGGGGTGCAGGACTCGGTGGAGGAGTGACTGGAGATGGGGTGAAGCGGCAGGAGCGCGAGGACGGGAGTGGAGCCGAGGATGGGCCTGAACAGCCGCAGCCTCATGGCAGGATGTGAATGGAGGAGGAGCTGCTTCTGCGGACGAGCAAAGAGAGTGGTTTCTTCAGATGGAATCCACTCCCGGTGAGATGCTGTGAAGACTGTCGAAACGGCAGCACAGGACTTGGAACATTGCAACACTGAGCCGACGGAGCAGCGGCAGGGTCTGGGAGAGGGTTGGCTCCAGTTCTAAAAGCTCTGCAGCCAAGACGCTGTCGGGCAGCATCGCATGCTGCAGCGGAGCCGTCCACGGGACGGACCTCGCTGTCTTATTCTCAGAAACTGCCCGCCAGTCAGCCGTCAGCAGCCACACCCTGGTCGGTCAGCACCGTCAACATCGAGGCAACACTCCTACCAGCAAAAGGGTCACAACTCACCGGAGGCTCCGGCGGCGGCCAGCATTGCTGGCAGTGGTGTGTGTCCTCATCGGAGCGCTGCGTTGCTCTTTCCCTGTGATGCTGCTGAAGGGCGGGCGGAGTGTGCACACCCTCCCGCGTGCGCTGGGGCTGAAGAACTGTGTGCTTCTCTTCCCTGACACTCGCCTCTCGCAGTGGTCTGGGTCCCGGCCCGCGGGTCTCCGAGGTGTGCTGTGTAAGACCCGCAGCCCAGACCGCAGCACCCGTCTAAGACATGAACGCACGTGCTTCTTCCGCGCAGAGCTTGTCCCTCAAGGTGTCTTTCGCCGGCGTTTCTAGCCGTCCGCCACGTCCCAAATCATGTTTTTCTTTAAAAGGGCTACATTCGAGTCAACTGCAAGTGATTTAAAGGAAGGACCACTGAGGCACTGAGAAACCTCAGTGACCTGTGTCTTTGGGGGGAGCGGCCACGCGTGCTCTCTTCAGGTTGGCCCGTCTCCCCGCTCAGTCAGCAAACCCACTGTCTGCTTTGCGAGAAGACGCGTTTTCAGTCTCTCCTGTCATCACGGTGAAGCCCAAATAAGTAAACCTATCTCCTGATCTGGAGTTTGGGATGTAGCTCCTTTTTCTCTGTGGTTTCTGTCTGTCCACCCCTCAGCCAGGCATCCGGTTTCACGCTCCCGCCGTCCCCAGCGGACAGTGGGGAACTCCTGCCTGCGGGTGGAAGCGAACTGAGTCCCCTCCGTCTGACTCAGCACTGCTGCCTGCGGGCAGCCCGCGCTGGTTCTCCGGGCCTGGAGCCGAGCCTGCTGTGGGCTGGGCGTGGGGGACCGCAGCCTGCTGTGGGCTGGGCGCGGGGAACCGCAGCCTGCTGTGGGCTGGGCGCGGGGAACCGCAGCCTGCTGTGGGCTGGGCGTGGGGGACCGCAGCCTGCTGTGGGCTGGGCATGGGGAACCGCAGCCTGCTGTGGGCTGGGCGTGGGGAACCGCAGCCTGCTGTGGGCTGGGCGCGGGGAACCGCAGCCTGCTGTGGGCTGGGCGTGGGGGACCGCAGCCTGCTGTGGGCTGGGCATGGGGGACCGCAGCCTGCTGTGGGCTGGGCGTGGGGAACCGCAGCCTGCTGTGGGCTGGGCGCGGGGAACCGCAGCCTGCTGTGGGCTGGGCGTGGGGGACCGCAGCCTGCTGTGGGCTGGGCACGGGGAACCGCAGCCTGCTGTGGGCTGGGCGCGGGGAACCGCAGCCTGCTGTGGGCTGGGCGCCGGGGAACCGCAGCCTGCTGTGGGCTGGGCGTGGGGAACCGCAGCCTGCTGTGGGCTGGGCGTGGGGAACCGCAGCCTGCTGTGGGCTGGGCACAGGGAACCGCAGCCTGCTGTGGGCTGGGCGCGGGGAACCGCAGCCTGCTGTGGGCTGGGCATGGGGAACCGCAGCCTGCTGTGGGCTGGGCGCGGGGAACCGCAGCCTGCTGTGGGCTGGGCGCGGGGGACCGCAGCCTGCTGTGGGCTGGGCGCGGGGGACCGCAGCCTGCTGTGGGCTGGGCGCGGGGGACCGCAGCCTGCTGTGGGCTGGGCGCGGGGGAAGCAGCCGCGGCCCCAGTGACTCCGTGCCAGGTCGTGGCTGCATCGTGTGTGTTCAAAGTGTGACTTTTTTCTCTCAACCAAATCGTCTTCCAGGTTTTTGGGTTTAAGTTACTGTGTAAATCGATTTTTATCCCCTGCACATGTGAGAGGGTGGAACGGTGGTAAGGAGAGATTGCAGTTGAAAATAAACTGAGTGGCCCTGCCGGTGTGGCTCAGCGGTTAGAGCTCGGCCCGTGCACTGGAGACTCCCCGGTTCGGCTCCCGCTAAGGGAACCTACCTTGATTGTAGTTTGTCCCCGGCCCTGGTTGGGGTCATGTGGGTGGCAACCACTCGATGTGTCTCTCTCACGTCGATGTTTCTCTCTCTCTTCCTCCATCTCTCTCTCCCGCTCTATCTGCAGATAAATGCAAAAATGTCCTCAGGTGAGAGTAAAAAATAAAATAAACGGAGTGGCAGAGGGCAGCCGGGTCACAGCGTCCACTGAACACACAGCGTGAGCAGTGGTCAGGACTGACCGCACGTGGCAGCAGACGCTCACCCTGGGGCCCGGGCGGTTTGTGGCGCCGTGTGCGCGAGGGGCAAGGGCTCGTTCGCGGGCACGTCCCCTTTCGTTCCGTCCTGGAAGTCCCCCTTCCCTGTGTCTCCTGGTGCTGACCTTTCCGCTCAGCGTAGGTCGCCCGTTTGGACGAGGCCTCGTCGCTGTGAAGGAAGTTTGCGTGCGGCCTGGCCCGCAGTGTGTGTTGTGATAAGGAAGGAGCTAAGACTTAAGTGAGGGACAACTTTCCGACTAGTATTAGGTGAAAAGACTCGGTCTTTACCTGGTGCTCCTCGGTCCGTGGCAGCTGTAGCCTCTGCCATCCCCCATGTTCAGAGACTGTCCAGGGCCTGTGTCAGTCCCCAGACCGATGTCCCGTGCTGAGGCGGGCATGTGGAAGTTTCACAGACAGGCGAGAAAAGTCCTGGCACAGCTGGCACTGCAACCGACTTCTCAGACTGGTTCACGTCTTGCTGTTTCTCCGTGAATCCGCTTAAAATGCTGTTTGCTCCGGGACAAGACGGCCTCCTGCCTAGTAGGGAAAATGAGCTCAAGCTATGTAATCGTCAACTACCTTTATGTTTTTATGCTTAAATAATCCAAATGTGTAGGAATTCCTGCCTAACTCTTAAGAGGGTGCTAGTGGGAGTGCGGCCCCCTGCTCCCCGTAGCCGGGACTTCACAGAGCGGCGCGGTCTTCGTCTCTGCGTGAACCTCTCGGGAGGCAGCAGTGTTTGAGGCGAACTCCGGGTTTGCAGGTTGCAGGTGTGTAACAGGGATGTGGGTGTGTGTTTCAGGATCGGGACGGCTGCCCTGGCCGTGCAGGTCGTGGGCAGCAACTGGCCGAAGCCCCACTACACTCTGCTGATCACCGGCCTGTGCCGCTTCCAGATCGTGCAGGTGCTGAAAGAGAAGCCGTATCCTGTCGCTGAAGTGGAGCAGCTGGACCGGCTGGAGGAGCTCCCCAGCACCTGCGAGGCCAGGGAGGGGCTGGGGGAGCTGTCCGAGCAGTTCTACAAGTACGCGGTGCAGGTGAGCGGCCTCGTTCCTCCGGAAACTCTCTGGTCCTGTGCTGCTTGAGACACCGTGACTTTGTTGGGTGGTGAAGTTTTAGAGCAGTCTATTTTTTTTTTCTTTTAATAATTTTTGAGAGAAAGGAAGAGAGAGAGAGAGAGAGATGGAAGCATCGATGAGAGAACATCGATTGGCCGCCTCCTGCATGCCCCCCACTGGGGATCGGGCCCATAACCTGGGCATGTGCCCTGACCGGGAATTGAACCGGTGAACTTTGGTGCAGGGTCGACGCTCAACCACTGAGCCGCACTGGCCGGGCAGGGCAGCCTATGTTTAAATCAGTGGTTCTCAACCTGTGGGTCATGACCCTTTTGGGGGTCGAACCACCCTTTCACAGGGGTTGCCTAAGACATAACAGTAGCAAAATTACAGTTATGAAGTAGCAACGAAAATAATTTTCTGGTTGGGGGTCCCCACAACATGAGGAACTGTATTAAAGGGTCGCAGCATTAGGAAGGTTGAGAACCACTGGTTTAAATGATTTAATAATATATCATAATGTGTTCATTTCAATTTGCTTGTCTCTCGGATTGTACCTAAATCATTCTAGGAGGACATATTGACCAACCTTTTCTAAAATTTTTCCAAAAAGTATTTCTGGAATTTTCCTTATAACTTTCGGTGAATCCAAACCAGATAGTTACTAAGTGTGAATAATTTAAAAAATTAAAATACTGCTGTTGTCACTAGACTATCCAGGCACCAAACTCTGTAAGGCACGTTGGCTCAGAAGAAGGCCGCACTGTGCCTGCGCGCAACGCGGAGGGAGGGCCGCGGGGGCGGCTCTGGCGGGGCTGGTGGTGAGCCTTCATCTCAGAGCAGCGTCCAGCGCGGCGGGGAGCAGCGGGGGCCGGGACCGTGGCCGCTCGCTCCATGGCTCACAGCGAGGTCTTTGTCAGCAGCCCCAGCGACGGTCACAGCTCCGGAAAGCTGCCTTGAACTCAACCCCAGGATGTCCCCTGGAAGGTGTTTTATAACCATCACTCATGGTCAGCACTCAGATTCTAAGGAATGTCCTACTGAAAAGCAATATTTCAGCTGTTGATTTGTTAACATAACAGCATCAGCTGTGCTAAATTTCCAGAATCAGATCATCACGCTGTGATTAGGTAAAGGCCTTGTTCTTAAGAACAAGGTTATGATGCTCGCAACTCGTCCCAGAATGTTCACCAGAGTGCTCAGCAGTGAATGCTCAGCAGTGAATGCGTCTGAGTGTGTGAAGAAAGATAAGCAAACATGGCAAGATGTGAACAATTGTTGAATTTAGGGGAAGAATATATAGTTTATTGAATGATTTCAACTTTTCAATACATTTTAATGTTTTTCTAAATAAAATCCCAGATTTATAAAGCCTTTTTATGAACCAATACTATCCACTTTTGAACCTTTTTTTTATCCTCACCCGAGAACATTTTTCCATTTTTTTGTTCAGATAGAGTGGGAAGGAGAGAGAAGAAGAGAGAGAGAGAGAGAGAGAGAAACATCAACGTGAAAGGGACACATCGAGTGGCTGCCACCCGCATGACCAATCAGGGCTGGGGACAAACTGCAACTGAGGTACGCGCCCTTAGTGGGAACCGAACCTGGGTCTCTCTGGACTGCAGGCCGACGCTTTAACCACTGAGCCAAACCGGCCAGGGTGAGCCATTTTTGCTTTTCATTCTGATTGACATTTTGAAAGTACCTCTCTTTTCCTCTGAGGCCTGTAAAATTCCTGGACGATAATAATCAGCAATCTTTCAAAAACATAGACTCAGAGGCCCAACTGTGAAACCTGACGTTTGTTGTTAATCTTCACCCGAGGATGTTTTTTCCATTGCTTTTAAGAGAGAGTAGACGGGAGGGAGGGAGAAACATTGATGTGAGTGAGACACATTAATTAGTTGCTTCCCACACCTGCCCCAACCAGGGCCAGGGATCGAACCTGCAACCCAGGCACATGCCCTTGACTGGGACTCGAACCCGAGACCCTTTGATCCTCAAGCCAGCGCTCTAACCGCTGAACCACACCGGCCAGGGTGGCCATCTGACTATGAAACTCGGAATAGTGCCAGGTGTCTCTCTCTTCCGCTCTAGTTGGTTGAAATGCTGGACATGTCTGTCCCTGCCGTTGCGAAGCTGAGACGTCTGTTAGACAGTCTTCCGAGGGAGGCTCTCCCGGACATTCTGACTTCGATTATCCGCACAAGCAACAAAGAAAAGCTGCAGGTACAGTGTGCCCTCTCAGGTGCAGAGTCGCCTTGTCACTTGTCATTTGGATCTAGATAGCGAGTAGGCTTGAACCTTCAGGTTAGAGATACTGGAGACACACAGAAGTAGTTACATTGACTTTGAAAGCGATGGCTTTTATTCGCATTATTAATACTAGTAGTTTGTCAATTTATGGAAAAAGTCAAAGCAGAGAGTAATAATGAAGGTAGATATTTAATTGAACTTAAATATGTCAGTATACTTTGTCTCACTATGGGTGGCACATGGGGGGCTGTGACCTTTCCCTTGGGTGTGGGTCTGCTTTGATAGAATTCTCGGTGTTTCTTACATAAACCACACTTGTGGTGCATTATCTATAATTTTAAGTTTCCTGTTTCTTTAAACTGAAATGACTTTTATTTTTTATTTTTTTATCCTCACCCGAGGACCTTTTTCCATTTTTTGTTCAGATAGAGCAGGAGGGAGAGAGGAAGAGAGAGAGAGAAACATCCACGTGAAAGGGACACATGGAGTGGCTGCCTCCTGCACGACCCAACCAGAGCTGGGGACCAACTGCAACCGCGGTACATGCCCCCAGTGGGAACCGAACCCAGGTCTCTCTGGACCGCAGGCCAACACTCTAACCGCTGAGCCAAACCGGCCAGGGCTAAACTGAAATGACTTTTTTTTTATTATTATTTTTTTTTTCCATTTTTTTTTTTGTTCAAGTAGAGTGGGAGGGAGAGAGAGGAACAGAGAGAGAGAGAAACATCGATGTGAAAGGGACACATCGAGTGGCTGCCACCCGCACAACTGACCAGAGCCGGGGACAAACTGCAACCGAGGTACATGCCCTTAGCGGGAACCGAACCCGGGTCTCTCAGGACCGCAGGCCGACGCTCTAACCGCTGAGCCAAACCGGCCAGGGCTGAAATGACTTTTAAAGACACTTGAAAAATAATCCAAGTACAAAATCTTAGATTTACATGTTTTTTCTCCTAAACCATAAAAGTTATCTTGCAAACATATTCTTATAGCATTTTTAAGCAATCTGCTTCATTGAATTTTCCTAGAACATTTTTTTTTTTTTTTGGTACGTGTCCCTGGCGGAAACCGAACCCAGGACTCTCTGGTCTGCGGGCCAACCCTCTAGCCACTGAGCCAAACCGGCTGGGGCATGGCTTCATTTTTAAATGAAAACTCAAGGTGCTTTTTTGGTTTTTTTTAGGGTTCTGGTATTTATGTCAAACAACCTTGCTGAGTTAATATAGTTAGCGTGGTTGTGTTGGCCTCATGTAGCTGTGACTGCTGATAGGATCTGATTTACGTCGAGTCTCTGCCTGCCTTGATTTTGGAGCATGATTTCTCAGCGCGCGAGTCTGGTGATGGACTCACTGCTGCGTCCTTAGATTCTAGATGCTGTGAGCCTGGAGGACCGGTTCAAGATGACCATCCCGCTGCTCGTCAGACAGATCGAGGGCCTGAAGCTGCTCCAGAAAACCAGGAAGCACAAGCAGGACGAGGACAAGCGGGTAACTGTCCCTTCAGTCCGTTTCTTCAGGTGCCCAGCTGTTCCTGTGTGATACGAGACTCGGTTTGTGTGTGTGTGCTCGTTAAGAAAAATTGGGGGAATCAAAGAACGAACAAAGAAGATAAAGTTCATTGTCTCTCACTGCTCAAGTTACTGATAAAAATTTCCAATTTCATGTGTTTCCCTCTAGTCCTTTTTCATGCCTGAATCTTTTTTTTTCCCCTAAGCATGTGAACGTTTTCTCATTTTCTGTTTTTGTTTTGGTAATCATCAAAAGGGGCGATCTACCAAGCCACTGTCTTTTGCCAAACATTGTGTGTTTTTTCCAGTGTTGTCTGTATTTTAAACATTAGCAGATACCTGCTGTCAGTGTCTGAGGAGAGCTGTATTTTACGGGATGTGATGCTAAGAACAGACTGAAGCACTGCATCCATATGTTGTGCCTTCACTTGGTGGACTTTTTTGTTTTAACTGGTAAAAGCTTTGCTTTTCGTTCGGTCAGACTGTCAGTCTTCGCGGACTTGTAAGCTTAGAGCCTCCGTCCTCCCTGTGATTTGCCTGCAGTTGATGTTTAAAAGGTGCTTGCTCAGCTGTGTGAGCCACATGCACCGAACTGGCCCTGTGGTGGGGTGAAGACAGCAGTTGCATTTTCCTCCAAAGAGCCCTTTGTTTGACTCAATACCAGGATCACTGCCCATTGATTTGTGATATCTTCATTATCATACTTACACTTCCACGGAGGGTGGGGTCTGGCTGAAGTCTGCCTTGAGCTGTTGATTTCACCACTGTTATGTGTGGGCAGAGTTAAGACCAGGAAAACATACAGGATGTGGACACAGTGAAAGAAAAGAGATCTCTGTAGACCGCAGGCCAACCCTCTAACCACTGAGCCAAACCGGCCAGGGCGAAAAAAGATCTCTAAAGGCCGGGAGATGAGGTGGGAGGTGGAGAGTAGTGTTGCGGGGGGTGGTCACAGGGGGAGGGAAGCCTCCCTCCCTGGTGGGATGGGAGGAGAGCAGTTGGAAGGCTGAGAGGAGGACAAGATGGAGTGCCCCCTGGTGTGCGTCCCGGGACAGATCTGAGCACCCCTTACCTCAGTCTTCATCTTGTGCCCAAAGACAAGCCAGGGCCTTGCTCTCAGTGAATGGCACCATTGCTTACAAAGAAACTGCCCCTTGCCCTGGCTGCTGGGCTCAGTGGTTAGAGCGCAGGCCCTCGCACCCAAGGGGCTCAGGTTTGAGCCCTGGTCAAGGGCATGTACCTGGGTTGCAGGTTTCATCCTAGGCCTGGTCAGGGCGAGTTCGAGAGGCAGCCAATTGGTGTGTCTCTCTCATGTCAATATTTGTCTCTCTCTCTTTCCCCTCCTGCCCTCCCTGATACTCTCTAAAAATCGATGGAAAAAAATAATAAAAGTAAATTAAAAAAAAGAAATTGCTCCAGAAAAATATGAAACAGTTGACAGATATTTGCCACTAGAGGAAACAGGGTGGGTAGTATTTGGAGTTAGCCCAGACTGAGCCCCCTGCCGGTTCCCCAAGGCTGGAAGGCACTCCTAGCAGCCAGGGAGAACTGCATAAAACGTGCTTTTGTCTCCAGTAAAATCACTGATGTGCTTTATTTTTAATCTCAGTTTTTTTAAAAAATTTTCATTTTCAGTTTTTCATACTTTAAAATATTTTATTAATTTTATCTGCTGATGACTTATGTAAGAATAAAAGTATATATCTTTAAAATATTTGTTTTTATAAGATTGCATTTTTCTTTTCTGCTTTGTGTTTTCTTTTAAATATTAATTATCCCTGCCTCCTAATTAAAAACATTATTTTTTTGCCCTGGTCGGTTAGAGTGTCGGCCCGCAGACCAAAGAGTCTAAGGTTAGATTCCCGGTAAAGGGCACATACCTTAGGTTCAGTCCCCCCCCCGTATCTGAAAATAGATGGAAAAATATCCTTGGGTGAAGATTTTAAAAAACAACAAAAAAACCACACACACATTTTAAAAATGTATTGATTGATTTTTAGAGAGGGAGAGAGAGACAGTGATTTGTTGTTCCACTTACTCATGTCTCACGGGTGACTCTGTCTGCGCCCTGACTGAGGCAGATCCGCAGCCTGGGAGCATAGGGACTGTGCTCTACCCAGCTGAGCTACCTGGCCAGGGCTGCTGCTTGGTGTGCTCTACCCAGCTGAGCTACCTGGCCAGGGCTGCTGCTTGGTGTGCTCTACCCACCTGAGCTACCTGGCCAGGGCTGCTGCTTGGTGTTTTTAACGTTTTTTTCTTTACTTGGATGTGTTAAATGGGTAATTCCATAGGTTAAAAAAATAACTTCTGAGGCTAAATTAAATACCAGTATGTCATTCTGCTCCAGTAATGGCTGGAGCATAATTATTACATTAATGAGTGAGAATTTTAAAAGAGCACACAGCTAGTTTTAAAATGTGGTAGTTTAAAATACGGCTATTGGATTTCAAAGAACAGTCCAGCACGAAGGAGACCGAAGCCGCAGTAGGAGGGCAGAGGATGCAGAACCGGCAGGAATCGCCGGGCTGAAGCCAGTGCTGGGGAGCAGGGCTGGCAGGGAGGGGCCCTGTGTGCAGCTGCCTGGGGGCGCAGAGACAGAGGACGCTGCAAGGAGGAAGGCCGTTCTGGCCAACAGAACAGGGCCGCGGTGGGCGGGTTAAAGGTTAGGAACGCTGTGACGTGGGAGGGGAATGGGGTTCTTCGGCTGTGCAGTGGGGGTAGTAATGTGCACCCAGAAAATGGTGGCCGCAGCAGGAGCTCACAGAAAGGTGGTTCCTACATGTTTTCATTGTTTCCAGCAGTCAGTTTCCTGGTTTTTTCTCACCTGTAAGCAGATACCAGTCCTGACCACCTGGTCTGGGTCGGCTTCGTGAATTCTGCTGCCTTCCTGCGAGCTTGCGCCCTTCGCCCCCCCTGGGTCAGGCTCTCGCCATGCAGAGCGTTCACTCGGCGCCAGGTCTAACCTGTGTGCCGCTGGGAACTTCGCGCCCTGTGTGCCGACCTTGGGTTTTACTCTTCCTCTCGCTCCTGTAGGTGATAGCGATTCGCCCTATTAGGAGGATCACCCACATCCCAGGCACCCTAGAGGATGAGGATGAGGAGGAAGATAACGATGACATTGTCATGCTGGAGAAGAAGATACGAACTTCTAGTATGCCAGAGCAGGCCCACAAAGTCTGCCTCAAGGAGATCAAAAGGTAAACAGTGGAAGCTCTCCCTGGGTAGTGTTTACATGTTCCTTGTTCATTATAAAGGTGTTGCCCATGGCAACAGATCTGCTACTTTGCATCAACCTTGAAGCTGAGTCGTTTACTTTATGTGCTCTGATCTTTCTCCTCTTCACGCAGTCACAGACTCTTCTTCCCTCTTCTTCCGTCTTGTCTTTGCACTGCACACTCAGCTTGCCTGACTTTCCAGATTCGCAGGCTGTCACGTGATCTGCAGTGCTTATTCCTCTTCATTCCTTATGCAGAATCTGACTCTTAAAGCATCCCTAATACTCCTCAGTTCACACCACTTTCCCTGATGTTTTTCTGAAATGTCTGCAGTGTGCTGTCTGGTGTGATCGCTGCTGTTGGTCGTCTCAAAGAGTGGACCGTCCTTTGTTCGGACATAATGTTTGTTCACTTACTGTGTTCTGCACACATCAGTGTTTTCTTCAGGTTACAAAGTTTAGAGGTCAGGAAATGTTAGTTCCTCTTTGTACAAGGTGCAGTACAGGAAGATCTTGATGACAGTATGTGGGTTGATTACATTTTCTGGATAATCTCAGAGTTAAATAGAAAACCTGTTCTTTCTTTGCAAACTTGTGACATTATAGCTATATATATTTTATGTTGTTAGTAAATTATAACGAACCTAAAGATTTGACTTTCTGAGGTTCACAGTTAACATTAGTAGGTATAATTGAGGGACATTTCATGTTGACTCTGACATTAGTTAATAAATGTAGACCATGCGTGGTGTACCAAAACGTTACATACTGGATATGTTATGGGAGTTGCATTTTTAAATTAAATATCTCATGTTAACTTGCTTTTGTGGACCGACTTCAACTGTGATGTGAAAGCTGTATAATTAGCGTGTAAGGCATGGTGAGGCGCTCACGTCCTCCTGTGGGTGGACTGTGGGCGGGGGGCTCGAGACCGGGAGGCGCTCACGTCCTCCTGTGGGTGGACTGTGGGCGGGGGGCTCGAGACTGGAGGCGCTCACCTCCTCCTGTGGGTGGACTGTGGGCGGGGGGCTCGAGACCGGGAGGCGCTCACATCCTCCTGTGGGTGGACTGTGGGCGGGGGGCTCGAGACCGGGAGGCGCTCACATCCTCCTGTGGGTGGACTGTGGGCGGGGGGCTCGAGACCGGAGGCGCTCACGTCCTCCTGTGGGTGGACTGTGGGCGGGGGGCTCGAGACCGGGAGGCGCTCACATCCTCCTGTGGATGGACTGTGGACGGGGGCTCGAGACCGGGAGGCGCTCCCACTGCTCAGGCCCCTCAAGGACAGGCTGAGTCAGGTCCCCGCCCGACCTCCACTCGCAGGCACCTCTAGCTTTGTAAGTACATTCTGTTTTGTGACTGCCTTCAAAACAAAACAAGTGATTTCTTATTTTAAAAATAATTTTTATTAATTTATTTTTGTTACAGATGTTTATTCTTTTTTCCCCATGGACACCCTCCTCCCCACCCCACCCGTCCCCAGCTTTGTTGTCCATGTCCATTGGTTCTGCGCACATGCACATAAGTTCTGTGGTTTATCCCCACCCCCTCTTCTGAGATGTGTCAGTCTGCCCCCTACTTCTGTGTTTTTGGGTCTATTTTGTTCATCAGTTTTAGTTCATTATATTCCACAAATAAGTGAGATCATGTGATATTTGTCTTTCTCTGCTTGGCTTGTTTTACTTAGCATAATACTCTCCAGGTTCCTCCATGTCATCTCAAAGGATAAGAGATCTTTCTTACAGCTGCATAGTACTCCATTGTGTACATGTACCACAGCTTTCTTATCCATTCGTCTACTGATGGACACTTGGCTGTTTCCAGATCTTAGCTATTGTAAATAGTGCTGCTCTGAACATGGGGGTACATATATTCTTTCCAATTGGTGTTTCAGGCTTCTTAGGGTATATTCCTAGAAGTGGGATCACTGGGTCAAATGGCAGTTCAATTTTTAATTTTTGGAGGTAACACCATAGTGTTTTCCATAGTGGCTGCACCAGTCTGCATTCCCACCAGCAGTGTACTAGAGTCCCCTTTTCTCCACACCCTCGCCAACACTTGTTGTTTGATGATTTGTTGATGGCGGCCATTCTGACAGGTGTGAGGTGATACCTCATTGTTGTTTTAATTTGCATCTCTCTGTTGATTAGTGATGTTGAGCTTTTTTTTTTATATGTCTCTTGGCTATTTGTATGTCCTGTTTGGAGAGGTGTCTCTTTAGGTCCTCAGGTCATTTTTTAATTGGGTTCTTTGTCTTCCTTTTGTTGAGTTGTATGAGTACTCTGTATGTTTAGGAAATTAACCCCTTAACTGATGTATCATTGGCAATGATGTTCTCCCATACAGTGGGATCCCTTTCCCTTTTGATGGCTGTTTCTTTTGCTGTGCAGAAGCTTTTGAGTTTGATGTAGTCCCATGTGCTCATTTTTCCTTTGTTTCTCTGGCCTTAGTTGTTGTAATTAGTGATTTCTTAACTAGATTTAAAAAAAAAACTTTTTCAGATTTGTTGAAGCAAATATGTATGATATGTCTGACCAAGAAATGGAAATAAACTTGATTTTCCTGTGTTTATGGAAATCTTTATTCTTGAACATGTTTGCTGTGTATTCTATTCCCACAGACTCAAAAAAATGCCTCAGTCGATGCCAGAGTACGCGCTGACCAGGACGTACCTGGAGCTCATGGTGGAGCTGCCCTGGAGCAAGAGCACCACGGGTGAGCTGGGCGGCCTCTGAGCTCCGGCTTCCCGGGCCCCAGGGTGGTCCTGCTGCGCAGAGACTGAGGGGTCTCCCTCTCCGGGGAGTGAGCAGAGGCTATGGGAGGGAGCGAGCACGCCCCAGGGTGGTCCTGCTGCGCAGAGACTGAGGGGTCTCCCTCTCCGGGGAGTGAGCAGAGGTGATGGGAGGGAGCGAGCACGCCCCAGGGTGGTCCTGCTGCGCAGAGACTGAGGGGTCTCCCTCTCCGGGGAGTGAGCAGAGGTGATGGGAGGGAGCGAGCACGCCCCAGGGTGGTCCTGCTGCGCAGAGACTGAGGGGTCTCCCTGGCTCTGGGGAGTGAGCAGAGGTGATGGGAGGGAGCGAGCACGCCCCAGGGGTGGTCCTGCTGCGCAGAGACTGAGGGGTCTCCCTCTCCGGGGAGTGAGCAGAGGTGATGGGAGGGAGCGAGCACGCCCCAGGGGTGGTCCTGCTGCGCAGAGACTGAGGGGTCTCCCTCTCCGGGGAGTGAGCAGAGGTGATGGGAGGGAGCGAGCGCACCCCAGGGGTGGTCCTGTTGCGCAGAGACTGAGGGGTCTCCCTCTCCGGGGAGTGAGCAGAGGTGATGGAGGGAGAGAGCACCCCGACCCTGGCCCATGTGTGGGCGCCTTGTCCCCAAAGTGTCTGGAGAGCATTCCAGGCGACGGCAGGAGTGTTGACTCAGCGTTTGTGCCGTGCCTGCTGTTTCTGTAGACACTAAATCTTCTTCAGCAACACAGAACACACGTTCCAGCCTCCCAAAGACTCAGTTAGAAGGATCCGAGTCTGTTCTTCTCACATATTTTTTCTAAAAAGTATTCGGACTCTTGCCAGCCTTGGAAGGAGGTTTTCCACTTGAAAATCAGTGTGCTCAGGTGTTTCTGTGGTTATTCGACAGACCGTCTGGACATCCGCGCGGCCCGGGTCCTCCTGGACAACGACCACTATGCCATGGAGAAGCTGAAGAGGAGGGTGCTGGAGTACCTGGCTGTCAGGCAGCTGAAGAGCAACCTGAAGGGCCCCATCCTCTGCTTTGTCGGCCCCCCCGGAGTCGGGAAAACAAGCGTGGGGAGATCCGTGGCCAAGACCCTCGGCCGGGAGTTCCACAGGATCGCGCTCGGAGGGGTGTGCGACCAGTCTGACATCCGAGGGCACAGGTAGGCATCTTCTCTGTCGCACCGTTACTCTCCTTCCTCGTCAGTCGACTCGAACCCCCAGAGTCGAAGCCCGATGCCGCCTTCCTCTGTTGGGTGCTGGGTGGAGGGCTGTGGAGCCTCCGGGAATGGGCACCCCGCTCTCCCGGAGTCTCCTCCGCCCGCTCGTGCAGTAGAAGACGGGATCAGAATGCCTTGGTGTCACCTGTAAAGTGTGTGTTATTCATTGTCCAGAGAGAGAGGAAGCAGGCGAGGGAGAGAGAGAGAGAAACATCGATGAGAGAGAACATCGACTGGCCGCCTCCTGCACGCCCCCCACTGGGGATCGAGCCTGCAACCCAGGCACGTGCCCCGACTGGGAATCGAACTGCGGCCTTCTGGTCCCTGGGTCGACGCTCAACCACTGAGCCACACCAATGGGCTGCCTTCACATCATTTTGACCCAGCAGGACTCCATAAATACTGACTGTAACTCTTAGAGTGAAACGTAAGTGCAGCATGGCCAGGGCAGGAAGGAGGAATAAGACGTTGGGTAGACACGTTTGCAGTTTAAACCCCTTTGAGAAGGCTGGTTTGCAGAAGGGTGTGAGTCACAAGGAGAAAGGTTCGGATCATTACTGAGGCTTATCCTTGCATTTTTGACACCTTTCTATAAAAATATTACAGTTTGGTGAATGTAGATTAAACTTGGAATGGGGGGGGGGCAGAATGTGAAGCTTTTATAACATCTTATTTTCCATTTGCCTAGTCACAAGATCACCGGTCTTAGGCCAGGAGAAGAAACGTCAGAAACTTGCATGAAAAATGGTTCTTTTTGTTTTTTTTTATTTGCTTATTTACAAATCTTACACATTAAAGGAAAATCACTCCAAGATTTTAGTGCAGAGCAGCGAGGGCCGCAGCGAGGTCGGGGAGGCGGTTTCCAGCCTGTTCCCTAGACTGTCCTGTTCTGGCTGTGCCCCTGGAGGCTGCGCTGGCTTCTGCGCAGATTGGCCTCTGGGGCCCGCCCTGGAGAAGCGGGGTGGGGCCTGGCACTGCCCATTCCAGCTGCAGGGCTTCGGGGAGGTTTCCCGCTCTGGTGACTGCATCCGTGCACTTGCAGTTGTTTTGGTTTGTTTCTTCCGTTGTGATCTGTAGCACGGTGTTGTGTAAGCACTTGATGGAATTTGCAGAGTGAGTTTGTGGAGTTATTTTTGTGAAATCGAGGTCAAGGGTATGTGGCATGCAGGTGATTTGTCCTGTTTCTTTCCTCGTTGGAGTTGACAGTTCAGCGAGGCTTGGCAAGTGCCCAGTCGGAGCCTGGCGCACGGGCGGCCTGCCATAAAGTCAGCTTTGGTTTTTCCTTCAGGGCTCGATGCTCGGGCAGGGTTAGAGCTACACATTTCAACATAACGTTTTACAAAATTCAGTCTGACTTTTACACTGTGCCCAAAACATCCTGTTCTTGGTATGATCGTTGAATTTGTGTGGGAACATGTATTTTTATGATGCCTGTTGGTCGGCAATATGTAATCTCATAGTTCTCATCACTTATGAACATTGGGCTGGGTTCAAACAGCTCTGTTCTAAATCTACTGACACTGATATAAAATGTGTTCACTTTTTTCCAAGTGAATTGACTTTCGTGTGTGACTGTTGTTAAGAGAACTGAATCTAAGGAAAATAGGGCCTTGTCTTGTAAAAGAAGGTTGTGTTTTTGTCTAAAATATAAACGTGAGCCTTTCAGACACGTGCGCATGTGGAGAGACTGGCCCCTGCGGAGAAAAGGTGTGGGGCTCCTCTGAGCCAGCCCCCCAACCCTCAGCCTGCCCTCCGGCACCCTCGGCTGCTGAGCGCTCCTCGGCCGCCACGCGCCGCCCGCCCTGGGCGTCATCAGAGCCCGGAGAGGGTTCTGTTTGAAAACCTGTCGGGAAGCAGGTGGGAGTGGGGTGCAGGCGTCGAGAGGAGAGCGGAGAGCCCAGGCTGCCTCTGAGCGTGATGGAGGGGCACGGGGGGGGGGGGGGGGCAAGCACTTGTCCGTGACAGCAGGGCATGCTGGAAGCGCCCGGGTCTTGGCATTTAAGTGTGGTCCCGTGCCCGCGAGTGGCGTTCGCACAGTTTGTTTCCCTCTGCCTCTGAGTAGGCCCCGTGTCCTCAGCTTTAAATAGCCCAGGACAGACAGAGCTGCTTTCTGTTCTCGCCCTCGCTGTTCTCTTGCTTGGTCCCTGCTTTCCTGATTTTCCCAGGCATGGGACTCCAGGCTCTCGTCGCAAGTGCCTGTTGCTGTGCAGGAAGCTGCTGATAAGTCAGGAGTTGACTGTAAAAGTGTCCACAGAGCCCTGGCCGGTGTGGCTCAGCGGTTAGCACGTCGGCCCGAGGACCCGAGAGTCACGGGTTCTATTCCCAGTGAAGGGCATGTACTTGGATTGCAGGTTTAATCCCTGGCCCCTGTCGGGGTCGTGCAGGAAGCAACCAATCGCTTTGTCTCCTTAGACTGATGTGTCTCTCCCCACCCCCACATCTAAAAATCAGTGGAAAGCTGGGGATTAAAAAAAAAATTAAAGTGTCCATAGAGTTAGATGATGATGATGTATGTGGGCGACGGGGAGAAACAGAAAGACGCAGTTTACAGTCCGGTCGTATCGGCACCTCGGCCCGCCGTTCAGGTCCGTGCTTCGAGCGTCTGGGAAGAGCCGCGCTCACCGGGACCAGCGCAGCTCTGCCGTCTCAGCGGCCCCCCTGGCCCCTCCACGGGGCTCCCTGCCGGCCCTTCCATGGCCGGACTCTGTTCCCGCCCGTCAGTTTCCCGGCGTACGTTTTTATATTTATTTATTTTTTATTTTATTATTTTTTTTATCCTCACCTGAGGACATTTTTCCATTTTTTGTACAGATAGAGTGGGAGGGACAGAGAGGAAGGGAGAGAGAGAGAGAAACATCGACGTGAAGGGACACATCGAGTGGCTGCCACCCGCACGACCAACCAGGGCCGGGGACAAACTGCAACCGAAGTACGTGCCCTTAGCGGGAACCGAACCCAGGTCTCTCCGGACCGCAGGCCGACGCTCTAACCGCTGAGCCAAACCGGCCAGGGCTGTTTTTATATTTAAATACTACATGGAAATCATTTCAGTCAGTTCATAGAAGTAAATGTGATCCACGAGGTTGGCTGTTACCCCTGTTTTAGATCCGAGGAAACAGGCTTAGGTCAAGTAGTCTGTCCCAGCAGCGTTCGGAGCTGGTGCGGTTGTAGCAGTGGTGGTGGAAAGACGCTTTGGGTGCTGGCGGCGCTGCATGTCCTCAGTAAGTGGGAGACACCACTTCTGTGTGGGGGACAGTGTCGCAGCCCCGTGCCCAGCCCCTCTGTCAGCCGGGTGCTCGCGGGCTCTGCAGGAGGTGTGTGCTTGGCACCTGTGAGTAAGCGCCAGGTCGTGAGGCCGCGTCAGAGGCGCTGTGCGGCCCCCGCGCAGTACCACTGCGGCCGCCCGGCGGCAAGAGCTTGCGGGGCTCCATGGGCAGGGAGGGCCTTACGGACGGAGGGCAGCGTGTGGACGGAGGGGAGAAAGCCTGAGGGTGTCATGGAGGAGTCAGGAGTGTCGTGGCAGCAAGTCAGGAAGGCTCCGGGGACCGGGCAGGAGAGCCTCGAGCTCCGGACAGGGGCCGGGCCGGCGTCTCTGGGCAGCTCAGGGGCCTCTGTTTGTCTGTGGTGGCGAGTGTCTGGATTCCACTTCTGTAGAAGGGGCGCCGGCCTAGGCTGTTACTTTCTCTCCGTGACTTTGGGTCTGGAACTGTCAGTACCTGCTCATGGAAAACAGTAAGGAGAGGAAAAGTGACGAATGCAAGAAATGACCCTGAGAGGCTTTGAGGGCTTTTAAAAACTGTCTTGCCCTGGATGGTTTGGCTCAGCGGTTAGAGTGTTGGCCTGTGGTCCAGAGAATTCTGGGTTCGGTTCCCGCTGAGGGCATGTACCTCGGTTGCAGTTTGTCCCCGGCCCTGGTTGGGTCATGCGGGTGGCAGCCACTTGATGTGTCCCTTTCACGTCGATGTTTCCCTCTCTCTCTCTGTTCCTCTCTCTCCCTCCCACTCTACCTGAACAAAGAATGGAAAAATGTCCTCGGGTGAGGATAATAAAAAAAAGAAAAAGAAAAGAAAATGTCCCCCTTCCCTGCTTAGCACAGAACACTGGCACGTGTGCACGTTCTCAGAGAAATCTATCAGAGAGTGTGTTGATTCGAGGCTGGTCATTCCTGTCTCCCATTCTGCAACCTTGAATGTGCGGACCCTGCTGACAGGGCAGTGCTTGCTGTGACTGGTCCCAGGGCCTTCTTTCCCTCCCTGGGACGTCGCCAAGGCTTTGTCATCGCGTCAGAGGCCCGCTGTTTACCCTGTGCTTTGTGCCACCCACATGGCAGAGGCAAGGGCTGCTCCGTGGACTGGGAGACCGCTGGCCACTTCACCCTGACCGGTTCTTCTAGGCGTCACCCTTCATCCCTCTTACAGACAGCGCTGGCTTTGCACAGGCCCAGACAGCGGGGTGGTAATGAAAGTTAGTCCTAGGCTGCGCAAAATAAAGTGTAGCTGGCTTTGTAAAAAAAGGTGCTTTTCCCAGTTGGACAAACGTACTGTTTTTACTTCATGCCACACTCCACACCTGTCATGATTCTGTAGGTGATCTTTATTCACATATGATGAAGCTGCCTGTAATTGTAACTCGTAACAAAGTATCCGGCTGAACTGGTTTGTGCCACGGAGTGTATGTAGGATGGACACAGTTTATTCAGTAGCCAGAATTAATGGAATTTTGGTATAAACACTGGTGACCCCAGATCCTCTTACTGCAATTAATAACAGTTGATTGCCTGTGAAAATAAAAGAGTTTGGAATTTTTTCCTTTTGCAGGGGTCGGGGGTCTGCATTTTGAGTGGCCCTTTGAACCAATTCTGATTTCCTTGGTGAAGATGAGGGCGATGAGCCAGCCTGGGGCAGCTGTCTCACTTCCTGGAGAGCTGGTTGTGTTAGGGGTGGGGTGCAAGGAGGGTGCTCTGAAAACTACTAGCAGCCTGGGGATTAAACTCACAGCGTGTTGCATGTCTTGGAAACTCGAAGAGTAAGAGTCGCAACTATGTGACTCAGTGTAACGTTTTTCAGTTTCACTCAATGGCCAAAATTAGATCCAGCTCCAGTACCATGGGCACTCACGTCGACCTAAATAGGAAGTCTGGTAATGTTGTGGTGCATCATCAGACTTCGCTGCGTCGCTGGGGCAGCTGGACCGGGCTCCCACGCCTGGCCCCTGGCGCTAAACTGCGGCTTGCTTTCTGCAGGCGCACCTACGTCGGCAGCATGCCCGGTCGCATCATCAATGGCTTGAAGACAGTCGGGGTTAACAACCCAGTGTTCCTGCTGGATGAGGTCGACAAGCTGGGGAAGAGTCTGCAGGGTGACCCTGCCGCCGCTCTGCTTGAGGTGAGCCTGGAGGAGGAGTGACCGCATTCCCGTGCATGTGGGTTCGTCCCGAGAAAGCCAGGCTGGTGTGGACCACAGTCTGAAGCAGTTCGATGTTTCAGTGTCTCGGAGATTTCTTTTTATAATAATTCTCATTTTTTTCCTTGTTTGTTTTTAATCAAATAGTTTATTAAAACTTTATGCATGCTTTTTGTTTACAGACCAGTAGTTCTACAAGGTTATTGCAAAAACAGCACCAAACCCTGGCCAGTTTGGCTCAGTAGTTAGAGTGTTGGCCCGCGGTCCAGAGAGACCTGGGTTTGGTTCCCACTAAGGCATGTACCTCGGTTGCACTTTGTCCCCGGCCCTGGTTGGGGTCGTGTGGGTGGCAGCCAGGCGATGAGCTCTCTCACGTCGATGTTTCTCTCTCTCTCTCCCTCTCCCTCTCTCTCTATCAGAAGAATACAAAAAAGTGTCCTCGGGTGAGGATACAAAACACAGCACCAAATTTCCTTCTCCCTGGGGTCCCCGTGTCCTCTTCTGCACTTTGACCTCTGTTGATGGATCCATGCTCACGCTAGCATGGCTGTATCGCTCCTTCTTGATTCTGTGGTTTGGGGCTGTAGCATCTGTGTGCTGCCCTCTGCCCCACTGTTGTCTGGTGCCCCGTCTCCCAGTACAGACTGTGTCCTGGTGTTCACTCGGTGAGTGTTCACACTTCTATAATTACAGAAGTGCTTTTCACAGCTGAGTATGTGGTGAAACCACTTTTCATCCTGTCTTCCTTTTTGTTTTTCTGTATGTTTTTTACAATCGTCTTAGTGTTAATGATTGTCTTGCTTCTTTTGTTTACTTCCTCCAGTTGTCTAACTTATTTTCAAGACTTTCAGACACCATGTGTTCCATCAGGTTTATCTTCTTTAAGCCTCTGGTCTGTCTGAGCTGGGCGCTTCCACATCTGGTCCGAGCCAGGCCCCTCCATATCTGGCACATGGCTGTCCTCGGGTTCTCCCTTTGCCTGAACCCTGTTGGGTTTCTTGTTTCCTGTTTCCTGTTCCCTGTCTGCCTCTTTCTGTTTGTTCTCTTGTTTTTGTGAGTTAACCCCCCAATTGTTTCCCGAGGAAGCCTGCATGGGTGGTAAATGTTTTTCAAGTTTTTATATCTGGAAATGGCTTTACATTTCCCTCATATTTGATTGGTGGTCTGACTGTTAGAATTTACATGGAGGTTACTCATGGAGTGGTTGGGGAGGCTTGTTACGAACTGTGACTAGGTAGTCTCCAAGGCTTTCTTTTCTTTTTTAACTTAGCTTTGTTATTGTTGAATGTATTACAGATGTCCCCTCTTTTTTCCCACATTGACACCCTCCTCCTCAATCCCGCCCCCTCCTGCCTTCCCCACGCTATTGTCAGTGTCCATTGCTTATGCATATGTGCATAGAAGTTCTTTGGTTTGTCTCTTCCCGCCCTTTGAGGTTCATCAGTCTAACAACCAGTTTGTACTTCTTAATTCCTTCATCTTTTTCACCCAGCCCCCCAGCCCCCGCCCATCTGGCAAGCAACAAACTGTCCTCTATATCTTTGAGTCTGTTTCTGGGCTGCTTGCTCATTTTGTTTGTAGATTCAATTGTTGATTTATATGTATTTATTGTCATTTTATTGTTCTTATTTTTGTTCTTCTTCTACTTCAAGAAGACCTTTCAAGCCCTGGCCAGTTTGGCTCAGCGGTTAGAGCGTTGGCCTGTGGTCTGGAGAGACCCGGGTTCGGTTCCCGCTAAGGGCATGTACCTCGGTTGCAGTTTTTCCCCGGCCCTGGTTGGTCGTGCGGGTGGCAGCCACTCGATGTGTCCCTTCACGTCGATGTTTCTCTCTCTCTCTCCCTCCCACTCTATCTGTACAAAAAATGGAAAAATATCCTCAGGTGAGGATAAAAAAAAAAAGAAGACCTTTCAACATTTCGTATAATACTGGTTTGGTGGTGATGAACTCCTTTAGCTTTTTCTTGTCTGGGAAACTCTTGGTATGTCCATCAATTCTAAATGATAGCTTTTCAGGATAGAGTAATCTTGGTTGTAGGTCATTGCTTTTCATCACTTTGAATATCTCTTGCCACTCCCTTCTGGCCTGCAAAGTTTCTTTTAAGAAATCAGCTGACACTCTTATGGGAGCTCCCTTGTAGGTAACGAACTGCTTTTCTCTTGCTGCTTTTAAGATTCTCTTTGTCTTGAACCTTTTGCATTTTGATGATGATGTGTCCTGGTATGGGCCTCTTGGGGTTCATCTTGTTTGGGACTCTCTGTGCTTCCTGGACTTGTATGTCTGTTTCCTTCACCAAATTAGGGAAATTTTCTGTCATTTTTTGAAATAGGTTTTCAATTTCTTGCTCTGTCTCTTCTCTCTTCTCCTTCTGGCACCCCTATGATGCAAATATTGGCATGATTGAAGTTGTCCCAGAGGCTCCTTACACTGTCCTCATTCTTTTCGACGCTTTTTTTTTTTTAAAGATTTATCCTCACCCGAGGACATTTTTTGATATTTTGTTCAGATAGAGTGGGAGGGAGAGAGAGAGAGAAACATCGACGTGAAAGGGATACATTGAGTGGTTGCCACCCACACAACCCAACCAGGGCCAGGGACAAACTGCAACCAAGGTACGTGCCCTTAGTGGGAACCGAACCCGGGTCTCTCGGGACCACAGGCCGATGCTCTAACCGCTGAGCCAAACCGGCCAGGGCGGACTCTTTTTTCTTTTTGCTGTTGATTGGGTGTTTTTTGCTTTCTTATATTCCAAATTGACAGTTTGCTTCTTGGCTTTACCTACTCAACTATTGAATCTCTGTAAATTATTCTTTATTTCAGTTAGTGCATTCTTCATTTCTGACTGGTCCTTTTTTATGTTGATGTTCTTACTAAGTTCTTTGAAGGTCTCACTAAGTTCCTTGAGCATCCTTATAACCAGTGTTTTGAACTCTGTATCTGATTGATTGCTTATCTCCATTCTGTTTAGTTCTTTTCCTAGAGTTTGGTCTTTTCTTTCATTTGGGACATGTTTCTTTCTCTCCTCATTTTGACTGCTTCCCTGTGTTTGTTTCTATGTATTAGGTAGAGTTGCTATGTCTCCCAGGCTTTGTAGGGTGGCCTATTGCAGTAGCTGTCCTGTAGGGTCCAGTGGCACAGCCTCCCTGATCACCCCAGCTGGACCCTCAAGGTGCACCCCTAGTGTGGACTGTACACCCCTCTGTTGTAATTGAGTCTTGATTGCTGTTGGCACATCAATGGGAGGGATTTGTGCAGGTTAATCAGCTGCAAGGACTGGCTGTGTCCACTATCCACCATCCTCTGACCACCTTGGAGGATCGGCTGTGCAGGTGGGGCCCACCACACAGAGCAAGACACTTCAGCAGGGCTCTGGTACCCACTGAGTCTATTCCTTGAGTGTGTTGCTTGTGGGGGTGGTTGGGTGGTGGTGTTTCGATGTGGTCTGAAGCTGTCCACTGGGTGTGCTGGCTCTGGGGCAAGGTCAGCCTCTGCCTGTGTTCTACCCGGGGCCACCTGGCATAAGCTACAAAGCAATCTGCCAACTGCTGCTTCTTGTGCTGGTCTTGGAGGTGCCCAGGCAAAGCCAAACTGTAAGCCAAGGCTGGCTGCTTCTAGTGTAGTCCTGGGGCCACTTAGTGAGAGGTATGGGGCTCGCTGAGACCAGATGCTGCTTGTTTGAGAGATTTTAGGAAAAACTGAAGCAGGATCTAAGACAGGACAATCCTATAGTAAAGCCATTGAAATAGCTTGGGTGGGCTAAAAAGTTGGGTGGGGCAGGGCCTCAGGGAATCACAGGGTGGGGCAAACAGTGTGAACCAGGTTGCTGGAGTCCCAGATATGGTGCCCTTCTGTCGCCCTGGGGAAGGGCTCACCAAATGATCCGCTGCCTCTAACAGCACTTCTGTCCAGGAGAAAGCTGCCTCTCCAGCTCTCGCCCCAATGCCAAACCACTTAGTTCTTTCCCTTATGTCTCTGGTGCCTTTCAAGCTGCCTCCCCCATCCTGGAGCCTGGAGGGTGCGAGTCTGAGTAAGTCTGTGCGCGGGCCCTTTAAGAGGAACTGCCTGGGGCTCCAGCAGCCTCAGCCTCCCTCAGCCTCAGTTTCGGCTGGTTTTCCAGCCAGAAGTGATGGGGGTTCACTTCCTGGCACTGGAACCCTGAGCGGGGCGCCTGGTGTGGGACCGGGACCCCTCACTCCTCAGGGAGGACCTTCCCAGCCGAGGCGTCCTCCTGATTTTTATCCGCCACACGTGGGTGTGGGACCAGCCTGTACGCCTCTGCCCTCCTCCCAGTCTCCATGTGGCAGCAGCTTCTTTAATGTCGTAGTTGTAGGCCTTCCCTTCAGCTCGGTGTCAGGCGGTTCTGAATGATGCTTGTTCTGTAGTTTAGTTGTCATTTTGATGTGGTTGTGGGAGGAGGCGAGACCATGTTTACCTATGCCACCTTGACCAGAAGTCTCTCCAAGGCCTTCTTTGTTTAACATGGGGCCCCTTGTCATAGTTCTGTCTCTGCAGGGACCCTCCTAGGGCGTGAGTGTGCCCTTGTGCTGGGATTCAGTAGTAAAATAAAAAACAAAACAAAAAAAATCAAGCACCCAAGAGAAGGATAGATAGTAATTCTGACCTATCTTCAAGTTGCTGATTCTTTCTTCTGCCAGCTGAAATTGCTGTCTAGATCCTTTCGTGAATTTTTCATTTAAATTACAGTATTTTTCAAGTCTAAGATAAGTATTTGCTTCTTTTTTATAATTCCTGTCTCTTTCTGGTACTTATCAGGCATCACTCTCAGAGTCTAGAACACAGTCTGAGGCTTTATATTTGCTGAGGTCTCTGTTGTCTGCTCCAGTGATCTCCATACATCTTGTTCACGCAGCCCACCAATAAAAATCTTAAAAATATACTCCTGTGTGCTCTGACCAGTGTGGCTAAGTGGATAGAGCATCGGCCTGCAGACCGAGTGGTTTCAGGTTCGATTCCCTGTCAAGGGCACATTCCTGGGTTACAGGTTTGATACTCAGCACGGATCGTGCAGGAGGCAACCAATCAATGTTTCTCTCTCTCTCACCCTCCCTCCCTTCCACTCTCTCTAAAAAAAATATTCTTGGGTGAGGATTAACAACAACAAAATTATAATAAGTAAAAATATATCCCTATGTATATAAATATGTATGTAATAAGGATATATCAGTCTCCTGAGGCTGCCATAACAAAATGCCACAGACTGGGTGGCTTTTTAAAAAACAGGAATTGCCTGGCCAGTGTGGCTCAGTGGTTGAGCGTCGACCCTGCACCTAGAGGTCGCCGGTTCGATTCCCAGTCAGGGCACATGCCCAGGTTGTGGGCCAGATCCCCAGTGGGGGGCGTGCAGGAGGCGGCCAATCGATGTTTCTCTCTCATTAATGTTTCTATCTCTCTCTCCCTCTTCCTTCCTGAAAAATCAATTTAAAAATATATTTTAGCCCTGGCCGATTTGGCTCAGCAGTTAGAGCGTTGGCCTGGGGTCGAGAGAGACCCGGTTTCGGTTCCTGCTAAGGGCATGTACCTTGGTTGCAGTTTGTCCCCGGCCCTGGTTGGTCATGCAGGTGGCAGCCACTCGATGTGTCCCTTTCACGTCGATGTTTCTCTCTCTCTCTCTTCCTCTCTCTTCCTCCCACTGTATCTGAACAATAAATGGAAAAATGTCCTTGGGTGAGGATAAAAATATATTTTAAATAAGTAAATAAAAATAAAAATACCAGAAATGTATTGTCTCGCGGTTCTGGGGATGGAAGCCCAGGGTCAAGGTGCTGGCAGGGTTAGGGGTGGCGGGTGGGATTTCTTCTGAGGTCTCCCCTAACCTTACGCCACTGCACTCGCTTTAGGTACTCACATGGATAACACACACAGAGTAGATTTTAAGAGAGAAGTTATTATACTTCTTAGTGAAAACAGTGCATTCTAAATAGATAAGTGTGATTGTGGTTGGTATTTCAGTCATTTTCCTTTCTTTTTAATGAGTGTGCCAGCCCCGTCTATGTCTCCGCGTGCAGTGGAAGGGCCGGGCGTGGGAGGCCCGGGAGCCCTCTCTGAGGTCCCACAGGCCTCGCGCGGGGAGCCGTGACGCGGGGCATCGGGGCAGCCATCTGAACCAGATAGTTGTTCCACATCAGTTTCCAGATGTATCCATGTGAATGGCTTAGTAGATGCTGCGTTCTGCTCCTCACACACAGAGAGGCTTTGTCTTCAGGCATTCTGCACAGCTGAGTGTGCCCTTGTGCTGTCAGAATAGGGCAGAGCCACTTGGACTGGTGACTTGTTCAGCTTTCCCCTTGCAGCCGAGGACTTGTACCAGGCTTTCTGATAACGTCTGGGGAGGAAAATGCTAACTATTATTTCACCTGTTACCTAAGAATTTCAAGGTGCTGCACACGCTCCCTTCCTCTCCCCAGAGCAGTCAGGAGGGGGTTGGCTACCAGAGGAACTGGTTCTGCAGGGCTGGGAGCTTGGCGAGGGCCACACAGTGAGTCACGTAGGTTGAAGAAGAAAATGGAAAGGGTAATTTTTGCTTCTTTGTGCTTTTATGTTTTCAAAAATGTTGACATTGAATGTGTTCCATTTTTTTAAAAATGGCGTTTAGAATGCGGAACACGTGCGGGACAGTGGCCAGGTCTTGGTGTTATCTCCATGTTTCTCCGGCTAACTGCTGAGAAGTGTCGGCCTGTGTCACGTGTGTTCATTCGCACAGCTTCCTGCCGGAACCACTGCGTTGGTTCACTGTGTCCGTTCTGCCGCAGGTGCTGGATCCGGAGCAAAACCACAACTTCACAGATCATTATCTGAACGTGGCCTTTGACCTCTCCCAAGTCCTTTTCATAGCGACTGCCAACACCACAGCCACTATTCCACCTGCCTTGCTGGACAGAATGGAGATCATTCAGGTGCCAGGTACTTGATTCCCAAATAAAGTCACTACCCGATTCTTCTTCCTTTTCTGAACATAGCCCTTTAAAATGGGCCGCACTGTGGAGTTGTGAGTAAAAAGTTGATTTCCTGTGTATGGTCATCCCCGTTTTTGAGTCTGCTGAATAAACCAGCTTTCATGTAGATTCAGAGTCTGGAGCAACAACATTTTGTTCACTTTAACTGTAACAGATGAGTCTCAGGAATAATCTCGCATAATAATTTCAGATCGAACTTAGCATTCAAGAATGGTCATTTTTTAATGAAAAACAAGGCATTCTTCTTTGAAGCAATTTCTAAAATTATAGATAAAAATAATTATTTTTTAAAATAAGTGTCTAGAAACCAAAAACAGATCTTTCATGGTCACGTTAGCTTCCCATTAATCAGATTTTGATGTGTTTACGGTCTCTGGGGAGGCGTAACCCTTTGTCTTCATGCAGTGAGAGGCAGGCCGCAGAGACCAGCCGAGCTTGCTGCCCGGCCTGGGTCTCGTCTGGCCGTGAGGCTGCGTCCACATCCCTCGCTTCAGCTCAGGTCGTTTGTTCTATTTTGTTTGTGTTTTTGTTGTTGTTTCTTTTTCAAAAAGTCCTCCAGTTGCTAACAGTGAATAAATCCCAGTGTCTTCACCTTATTTTAATTGCTCAGAATGATTTTTCCCTAGAAGACATCTGCTATCAATGGGTTGTTAAAATGGAGAGAGTAGATTTTATATTTAGATTCTAATACAATCTGAAATATCATTTTACTACCAAGTGAATGATGATTGCATTTCTTGAGCCCTGCCAGCTCCTATGCTTAGTTTAAAATAGGGTGGAGTAAAAATTGCTTTGTGCATATTTATGAGACTACAATAAATAGGTCAGGAAACGCAGTTGCCCAGAAACTCCCAGTGTGCAGACAGTCGGAGACGCCGCGGAGGTGCCCTGCGTGCCGCCCAGCTCGGTGCCCTGCGTGCCGCCCAGCTCCTTCTGCAGCGCTGGCCTTAGTGCGGCCTTGTCTCCTCTTCTGCCTCGGGTGTCTATCAGCCCATCGTTTTAATTGCTGCTTTTGCCATGAAAGGGGGCAGTTGGTTCAGGGGGAATTTTGTCTCACAGGTTTAAAGACAAAGTAAATCTGCACTCATTAAGGCCTTTATTTATTTATTTATTTAAGAGTAAGATCATTCTTTTTTCTCTCTCTCTCTCTATTGGTTTTAAAGAGAGAAGGAGAGAGAGAACATCTACTGGCCGCCTCCTGCATGCCCCCCACTGGCGATCGGGCCCACAACCTGGGCATGTGCCCTGATTGGGAATCGAACCGGCAACTTCTTGGTGCAGGGTCGACGCTCAACCACTGAGCCACACCGGCCGGGCTCATGGAGGCTTTTAAATAAATAAGAACATAAAGTCTTTCAGATATATAAATTACATATAGAATCCAACATGTAGAGGGAAAATCTGCTGTAGGGACATTTAGTTTTGGGCTTGTTACTGGAATTGATGTGTGGCTCTTCCCTGGGAACCACTGCTTATTTCATTGTCTTGTTGTGTTTAACTATTTTCAATTATGTATCAAATTATGCGAAAGAAAAGGGATGTATTTCCTATTAATAAAATAACTCAAAATTAAGCTAAGGAGATAATTACCTCTAAGGTTTGACTGAGACTTTTTTCTCTTCTTTGAGAGACATATCATTTAATCAAAAGACTTTCAGATGCTGTGCTTACAAATCCTTGTTTTCTTTGGGGAAAAGTTGGAAATTTTAACGGTCGATTGGAGAAAACATTTCTTTATTCGCATTATTTGCGGTAACACTTACACTCACGGTAAACGAGCGTCGCCGGGGAGCCGTGGGAGCCGCTGCAACCGGGCCTCTTGCAGGGTACACCCAGGAGGAGAAGATCGAGATCGCCCACAGGCACCTGATTCCGAAGCAGCTGGAGCAGCACGGGCTGACCCCGCAGCAGGTGCAGGTCCCGCAGGCCACCACCCTCGACATCATCACCAGGTCAGTCACGGTCCCCAGGCGTCCCCGCGCTGGCGCCGGCAGGGCAGCTTCCTGCCTCCCTGCGTCTGCAGCGGCCGGCCGGCCGCGTCCCGTGACTGCCGTCTGCACAGGGCTCTGTCCTAGGCAGGGGTCCTGGGGGAGCACTGAGCGTGCCTTCGTAGCGAAAGACTCTGCGTGAGGCCGAATTTCAGCTTTTCCCCGGTAGCAGTGTAAGGGATTAATCTGAAAACCAAAAACGTGGAAACTATCGAGACACCTTTTATGGCCCAGATCTTAAAATGTCAGATGCTGCTTTCAGACATCTGTTTTAAGTTATTCCGATTTTCTTCTCTTCTCTTTGAGAGATTTTTAAAATCTTTGGAGTTTTCATCTTCAGAACTCACCCTGGAACAATGGAGAAGGCACCTTCCCAAGTTAGCCACCCAGTGTGTCAGCCTGTGCAGGCAGCACAGAGATGGCCCAGGTCGTCGCTCAGTCTGCTCCGTGAGTTGCGTGTCGGAGTGGACGTGTGGAGAAGGATGTCTGCAGTGGCTTCTCGAGTCCTGGCTCCGCATTGCAGACCAGGGCCTCAGCGGCCCGCCAGGCGCTCGGCGGCCTCCTCGGGAACCGCTGCTTCTCAGGAGGAGCAAAGCCGTCTCTCGTGCTGAACTTAGACTAGAATTGGCCACCAAGACTGCTCTCTGATCTAAGCCAGCCTTCTTCGGAAGTCTGTTTAGATTTATACAAAACAGTAAGACTACATCTGACCTGGGAGTTCCTTTTCTTAACTTGAGATTTACTGTGTGGATAATGCCAGGAGAAATAAATTATGTGACTTATATGCCAAAGTCCTCCAGCAGCCTTCTCCCAGATTACACCCCCGGTGCCTGTGGGCAACTTTCACGAAGTCACTCAGCCTCTTGAAGGCTTCCCCATCTGTAAAATTTGAGTGATGGGATAAAATATCCATAGCTTATCTGGATCTAAATAATGACTCCAAAAGTAATCACTATTTGTATTTCCCAGTTGTTGCCTAGAGAACTATTTCTTTTCATATGAATTTCTGGTAAGTTTGGCCTATACCATTCTGTATTCATTGGTGGATTTTTTTTTAAGGGAGGAGGGCAGAGAGAGAGAGAGAGAGAGAGAGAGAGAAACATCGATGTGAGAGAGACACATCGATTAGTTGCCTCCCGCACGACCTGACTGGGACCAGGGACTGAACCACAACCGAGTTACATGCCCTTAACCAGAATCTAACCTGAGACTCTGGTCTGCCAGCCCACGCTCCAACCATTGAGTCAAACCGGCCAGGGCTTGGGGGGAATTTTTTAAAGCCCAAATGTGAAAGTTTGCAATCTGTGTATATTTTGTTTAGCTACCATTGCAGCAAACTGACTTTTTTCATCTTGCTGATCAAGGACGTTAGTTTTATGTCGCCTGAAAGTTGGTGTCTGTAACACCTTCCGTCCAGGTCGTGATGAGAACAGGAGCCAGCTCTTACGGGACACTTCACGGTGTAGCAGTGCCAAATAGGGTGGCCTGCCTCCTTCCTGCAGTCAGCTGCTCCTGCTGCAGTCTGCGTGCGTTCCTGCTGCGTCGTCGTTCAAACGCCTTTTTGAAAAAGGTGTTTTTTGTTGCTGTCATCCTCGCGATTGTCAGCACACCCGAACTTCCTGCGGCTGCGCCTGCACGTCAGGGCGATTCTCCCGTAAGCTTCCTGGGTGTCTCTTCTCATCCTCTGTCCAGACACCGCAGCTGCACTGGCCGGAGGCTTGTCTGGGAAGCTGCAGTGGACTTCTGGTTCTGGTTTTGTGTTGCTTTGTTTATTTATTTAAATTTTTTTCTTTATTGATTTTTAGAGAGAAAAGAAGGGAAGGGAGAGAGATGGAAACATTGATGAGAGGGTACAGTGATTGGCTGCCTCCTGCATGCCCCCCACTGGGGATTGGGCCCACAACCAGTAATCAAACCAGCGACCTCTTGGTGCAGGGTCGACGCTCAACCACTGAGCCACACCGGCCAGGCGCTTTGTTTTTAAGATGCCTCCCTGTTTTCCTCCGTACTGGGGTTATGTGCAGTTGTGAGGTGTGGACTCGATCCTTCCAGCCTTGGTTAGAGTATTAACCAAGAGTCTGTATTTGTCTTTTCTCAGAACCTTAAAAGTCTGCTTCCCTGCAGCCTAGAACATGTCTGACCGCCAGTCAGAACCAGGGTTCACAGGACACTGCGTTCTGTACCTCATCCTGCCCATTCAGACCCTTCACGCTGGGTGTCAGAGACGGTCGTGCTGTGTGATGTTGTGACGTGGCTTGTGGGCTTGGAGTGACACCGAGGTTTGCGAGACAGTCTGCACAAGCACCTAGTGGTCGGCAGAAGCACGATGCTCGCGTGCTCCGCACCCTCGGGGCTGCTGCGGCGGCGGCGGCCATTCCTGGACACACCCGATTTCTGTCCGGTGCTGTGGGCTTCAGCGGGAAACGGTTCTGTTCTAAAATTGTTGTGCAGAAGAGTCTGCAGCCTAGCACACTTGTCTGCAGTTTTCTCTGGTCTTGTCCAGGAAAGCACTAGAGCCCTCGGAAGTGATATGAGCTGCCAGCCCAGCTCCGCAGACCGAGGGTCCGCATGTGAGTCCCGGTCAGTGGTCTCAGAGACTCTGCAAAGCGAAACGTCGTAGCTGAGAGTCCATCTGAATATTTAGAGATAACAATACTTTTACAAGGAACTTTTTAATGTGAGGGGCAGTACTCATGAAAATGCAATGACCTTTAAAATGTACGTGTTTACACATTACTTTTGTCTATTTTTGCAGGTGGTGTTCAGCCAAAGATACAATGTTGCTCTTTATTGACAGGTACACACGAGAGGCAGGGGTGCGCTCTCTGGACAGGAAGCTGGGGGCCATTTGCCGAGCGGTCGCTGTGAAGGTCGCCGAAGGGCAGCACAAAGAAGCCAAGTTGGATCATTCTGACGCAGCCGAGGCAGAAGGTCTGTGACCCTGAGCGTGCCCTCAGGTGGGCCGGAGCAGAGGCAGAGGGGTGACAGGAGCTGGGAGACCTGGGGGCACCCTCACCCTGGCCTCCACTCCAGGAGGAGACCTGACCGAGGGAGGGCGTTCATCCAGAAGGTTCTCTTTCACATCGGCGCAGGGTTGTAGGTGGAATCACACTCGGTGTTAGTCCTATAAGGCTGCGGTTTTCATTCAAACTTTTCATCTCGTGGCATGTAAACCAACCACTAAAATTCTGCAGCGCACCAAAAAATATACTTTTTGCTGACCTGACAAAAACAAAGGTATACTTTTGATTGGCTTACAAAAAAAATAATAATAGTAGTAATTACCTACCTTTTTTGCTCTAAAGTGACTTTTTAAAAAATCAGGTGCCTATCCTTGTATATAAGGATTTCTGGTACCAAGAATTAATCAGATGCAACCTTATTATGCTATGTGACCAAAAGAAGTAACACTGTTACATGACCTGTATGTTTACGGTACGAGACGACATTCACACCGGACGGCTGTTGTGTTGGCTGTTGTCCTGTTAGTCTGGCAGTCAAGGGGAAGGACTAGGAGTCCTCATGCAGAGAGCTGGACATCGCTGCTTCTGGGCCCAGCTCTCCAGGTCTGTGGTGTGGGGCGCAGTGCGCAGGTTCTGGGTTCTCTTTCCCTTCTCGCTCAGATTGTCGCGAAGTCTTGATGTTTGTAGCTTAGAAAGTCGTTACGGCAGTAAGAGCATCCACGCTGCCCACGGAGAAGGGGGCAGGTCTCTGTCCTCGGCAGTAGCTTCATAGGTAAAATCATATGTTTTCTCATGCATTTTCTGTGGTAGCTACATGATTTCAATGTAATTTAAATTATTTTTTCTTAGACTGTGGAGGTGGCGATAGGGAAAGAAGGGAAGGTTTGTGACCGGGATTAATCAGTCTCTCACCTTCCTGCCCAGGCCTCGCCGGGCTCAGTGATGCGTCTTGGGTTCCCAGACTGGCTCTAACAAACCTGACTCTGGTAGTAGGGAACTGGCAATGTCTCCCATAAAGAAGGGATGTATCAGATATTCCACCATGTCCATTGGTCTTTCTAGAAAGGAGTCCGGGGAGTGTGCTTGAAGAACCATGATTTGTGGTGGGCTTCATGGAGTAGATGCACTTAAACATCTTCCGTTTTTTGTTCTGTTGCATTTATCATCAAAAAAGTAGACGTTCCCAGAAGCCTCCTGTTCCCAGCGTGGTGCTTCCCCCGGGCCAGGCCCTCTGGCCCCTCCGGCCCCTCCGCCCCGCCTGCCCCTGCGTGGGGGTGGGCAGTGCTCTCCTGTGGAGTCAGGTCGGGGTCTAGGCTGGTTGTTTCCTACACAGACTTCCACGTTGACTCTTTAGTCCCACCCTCACGCGTGTTTTAGGGCGACCTCGAGTGCCCGAGCCTGTGTAGGATGTCAGCTGTTGCCTTCTTTCTTATTCTTTGTGTTCTTGTGGGGTTTTCCTTTATTACATTTCTTGTCATTTTAATAGGATGTGAAGAGGAATTTTAAAGGTAAACACATGTCCAGACCACCATTTAAAAATGTGAAGTTTTTAAGGTGCTCTGCATGAGTTGGGGCCTGCCCACGCAGAATGGAACGGGGTGGGGCGGTGAAGAGGTGCGGACTTCAGCTACAGAGTAAGTCACGGAGCCGCCACGCACAGCGTGGGGGTATGATGAGCAATGTCGTAGCACTGGGTGGTGCCTGGTGTAAATCAGTCTGAGTCGCCGTGTTGCACCTCTGAAACTAACATCATACTATATGTCAACTCTAAGTAAAGACACATTTCTGAGAGCCAACAACAGAGAGAGGGACAGACACCGGTGACCGCCGGCAGTGAGAGGGACGCGCTGTAGCTGCTTGTGTCTGTTCCCATCCTCGCTGGAGGCCTGGGTCCCCGGGGTCCCCGTTCCCCTCTGCCGGGGCCTCACGCGCTGGGCCGCCGTCTGCTCGCTGCTGTCAGAAGTCACGACGGGCAGTTGGAGGAAGAGCCGCCGGGTGCGGGTGCTCTGGTGACGGACACCGAAGCCCCTGTGTCCCGGGGGCTCCACAGCCACGCGGCGCTTCCCACGCGCCACCCCGTCGGCGTGCTGCAGGCACCGTCTGGCAGCGGAGCCAAAGATGCCCAGAACCCTGCCGGTGTGGCTCAGCGGTGAGAGCGTCAGCCTGCGGTCCGGAGAGTCCTGGGTTCGGTTCCTGCTAAGGGCACGTACCTCGGTTGCAGTTTGTCCCCGGCCCTGGTTGGTCGTGCGGGTGGCGGCCACTGGATGTGTCTCTTTCACATCGATGTTTATCTCTCTCTCTTCCTCTCTCTCCCTCCCACTCTATCTGAACAAAATATTGAAAAATGTCCTCGGGTGAGGATAAAAATAAAGATGCCCAGAGTGTTCAGGGACTTGTTCAAATAGTTCCTGAGCTGTGTGAGAGCAATGTTTCACGGTGACGTCTATTTGGTTATTTTTTTAAGTCCACAATTCAGCCCTGGCCAGTTTGGCTCAGTGGTGAGAGCATCAGCCCACAGACCAAGTGAGTCCAGGGTTCGATTCCAGTCAAGGGCACGTGCCTGGGTTGAGGCTCATCTCTGGCCCCAGTTGGGGTCTTGTGGGAGGCAACCAGTCGATGTGTCCCTCTCTCGTTGATGTTTCTCTCCCTCCCCCCCTCTCTCTACCTGAAGATAAATAGAAAAATATCCTTGGGTGAGGATTAAAAAAATAAAGTAAATCCATGATTCACAGAAAAAGAATCCTAAATGATAGCCTGGTTTAGTAGATTTGGGTAGGTACAGTATTACCTAGGCCATCCAGATGAGTGAATAATCAGGACAAAGGCTTGTCTCTTGAGGGCCATTTGGTTGTCGCTTGTATTTAGAAGCAGGCTCCGGGTGGCTTTCACGTTGTAAGATGTCCTTGAGTCACTGTGTGACTGTGCTCTGGATTGTAGTGAGATAATCATACCACATCCTCGGTTTGGTGTTCTTGACCTCAACCAAGCCACAAGAACTTCTACAGAAAGTCTAGGAACAGACTGATGAACCTTGGCACGAAGGGGGCGGCGGGCAGGAAGAGATTAACCAGAGAACTTGCATGCGCCTGTGCATCTCCATGGACACAGACTGTAGGTGTGAACTTGCATGCGCCTGTGCGTCTCCCATGGACACAGACTGTAGGTGTGAACTTGCATGCGCCTGTGCGTCTCCATGGACACAGACTGTAGGTGTGAACTTGCATGCGCCTGTGCGTCTCCATGGACACAGACGGTAGGTGTGAACTTGCATGCGCCTGTGCGTCTCCATGGACACAGACTGTAGGTGTGAACTTGCATGTGCCTGTGCGTCTCCATGGACACAGACTGTAGGTGCGAAGGCCTGGGGCAGGCTGGGAAGCGGGAAGAGGGAGGCAGTGGGGGAAACGGGACATCTCTGATACTCTCAACAAGATGCTTTTATGTCTGTATTAGGGTTTCATGCTACAAAGTTCAGATGGAGCTAGCTTAGTAACTGAAAGTTTCTCTTCAAGAAATGAATTATTTAAAATTAGAGTCTAAAATAAAGCAGTTGTTTTAGAAATTTCAAGTAATGCAGTGAGGGAGTTATTTTTAATGTTAAAATATTGCTGGACTCAGAGTGACTGCCAGGAACAAAGTAATTTCAGGCCACAAGCTTCCAAACAGGCAGAAACCTCCCGCGTGTCGACCAGTTCCTGGAGGAGGCCCGGAAACACTGGTCTGCGCGTTTGTCTTGTGTTTGTGGGGCCTCGGCTGGCACTTAAGCAGAACAAAGAGCAGCAGACTGCAGAAGGCGGGCGGGACACTGGAAGATCAGTGGATCGGGGTCCGAGCGGCTCCGCCTGGGCCGCTCACAGAGTGCGGGCACGGCTTCGTGCGGCGGGACCGCCTGCTCTCTGCGCGGCGGCGTCATGCTCCGAGCTGCCCTTTCCTTCCTGGGGCAGCGGGCGGGTTGAGAGATGAAATGTGGCTGAGTTTCGTTCTGCCCTTTCCTACCCTCGACCAAGGGTACGTGTTCTGCGTGCTCCGTGCTACACCTTGGCAGGGTCAGGCCGCGCCCCTTCGCTCAAGGGCTCGGGTACCTCATACGTCCATTAACATCTAGTAAGATTTTCTCCTCGAAAAATACCCTCAGCAAAGGATTTGTACTGTAGTCAACCCTTGTGAGGTTTCTCAGAATAAGGAGCATCTCAGTTATTTTTTTAAAATAATCGTGTTTACTAGAGAAGCTACATTAAACTTAATGACTCTCAAGATGTTAGTTTCTTATTCTCATAGAAGTCACTTGAAAATTTGGTTAGGAAGAAAAGACAAAAGTAACACAACTCTAACAGTTATTCATGAGGTGTGTTAGAAGCCATTGCGAGGAGCTTTCTCACTGTGAAGTGGGTCTGCTGTGGAGGCCTCAGGCCACACTTAGAGGACACGCGCTCACTCACAGCAAGTGCGCGGGACTCGGGCGGGGGTCCCGTGGCAGCGTCGCCCATGGTCTCAGGAGCAGCTGTGTCTCAGGTATCTGGGGTGTACGTCCTTCAGCCTTGCTCTTCAGGACAGCCTCGGCTAGTTGGGTGCCGCAGGTGTCCAACAGGTGTTACCGTCAGCTTGCCGATTGCTACCAGCAAATAAAACTTCCTGATAGTTTAATGGTGATTGCATTGAATCTGTAAGTCATTTTGGGGAGAACTGACAGTTTGATATTACCGGGTCTCTGATAATGGCTAGCTTTGTTTATTTAAGCCTTAATAGATGTTTTTAAGTGTTTTAATCATTTTCAGTTGTGAGCTTTTGCATATTTTTTAGATACATTCCTAGTTATTGGATCTCTGTGTATGTTATTGTAAATGGCATTTTTAATTACTTGTTTTCTAATTCTTTTTGTTGCTAATCTATGGGAATACTATACTGACCGGTATCCAGCAAGCTTTTAATTTTAACTGTAGATTCTTTTAGATTTTCTGTGTGCACCAT